GGATAACACTTCATTTGGATTTCTAAAAATTTGAAAAGTCGAACAAAGCATAAACTCGAAAAATTCCCAGCTACTTCGGCTAATATGATCCTGCAGATTCCATCCCCGTTGCAAGTTTTTAAACATAAGTTTCAGTTGTGCATCAATGTATAATTCGTTCAAGTTCGAACGTTTTACAGTCCAAAACCAAAGTTGCTTCCAAGAAAAAGTGAAGTGGTCCATCAAATTCTTGACAGTCCATTTATATCCAACTTCGAATGTCGTCGCTCTGGAATTTATAAAAATCATTAATAACGTAAGGAAAAATGCAGAAATATTGCAATTTTCGTAGAAGAAATACATTTTTTCTACAAAAATTCACCAAAAAATGATGCAAATCTGCTCTGTTGAGAACAATTTTTAGAGGGTGTTTGAATCAGAGTTTTTTGAAAGCATTTTCATTTACATTTATTATCCATTTTGATTTTTGAAAAACAGTTTTTGTTAGTTATAAATATTTTTGTGGTCAAATCTGACCATTTCCGCAACAATTTTACAGGATACATGTACAAATCTCACCCGAAAACTGCTTCCAAGAAATTTTATGTCGGTTTTCTGATATTGTGGTGGCTGCTTTCTGTCGAGATAATGCAGTCATTTATCTGGAATTATAAATCATTAATGATAACCTAAAATTCACGGGTGTTATGCAATTTTCAATGAAAAGAAAATGTTTTTTTACTTTTATTATCGAAAAATGATGCAAGCATGCTCTGTTGAGAAAGACATAGCGAGGGTGTTTAAATCAGAGTTTTTCTGCATTTCATTTTTTCTGTTTCTATTTTCGATTTTTAAAAACCTTTTTTGTTCGTTTTAATTGATTTTGTGAACCCCGAAAATTTCAGCAGAAATTTCACAGAATTGATGTCCTACCTGAAAGTTGTTCCTTGAAAAGGCTAAAATGATTTATTGAACTTCGACGGTTGCTTTCTGTTAAAATTCTGTTTTGTCTGGAATTGAAGAAAATTATTGATAACCTGCAGATTTCACGGAAGTATGGCATTTTACCGTAGAAATGTATTATTTTCCTCACTAAAATTATCGAAAAATGATGCAAACGTGCTCTATTGAGAAACGCATAGCGAGGGTGTTTAAATCAGAGTTTTTGTTAATTTCATTTTTCCCCGTTTTCATTCTCTATGTTCGAAAAAGTGCCTCTGTTAGTGAAATTTTTTTGTAAAAAGCTCAACAAAGAAGCGATTTCGAAGCATTGATCTGAGAATATAGCCCAAATCATCATTTTTGATAATGTTATAATCATATGTGCCCCTCAGAAAGCTTCAATAAACTGAAATAATAAATTTGTGTAGTTTAGTTTATTTTCTTGCGTTTCATTGCAATTTGGGTTGAAATAAAGCCGTGTCCGCAAAGCTATTGTTAGATGTTTCGTTTCGCTTGAATCAAACTAAGATTTCGGTCACAACTCAGTTATCTAAGTTTTTGAAGAAACCGGAATCAGAACCCAGCAGTAAAACTTTATTTGTGAACGTCAACGAAATTAATTCTTTGTGTGTCCGCTTGTAAAACTCCGATTACCTTCTAAAAAAGTTGTAAATCTAACGGTTTTCTTTTTTGTCATCATGCACGCTTTATTCCATTTCCATCTTCTTTCCCGTACCCTACCCATTAGTTTCGTTTCACTTAATGACTTCTGACGACACAAAACGAATGTTTCATTGTGCTTTTCTCATTTTGCCCCTTCATTTTCCCTCTCCTCTGTTGCGTCTCAATTTCTCCTTTTGCATGTTCCATTTGAGCTTTCCGTTTGGCAAAAAAGCAACGTTTACGACACCGGAGAAGCAGCCAGCGGACGTTGAGAACGTAGATTTTTTGTTTCGAAAAGTCCGGCTTGCACGTCACCGGAGTAGAGTCACAAGGAAACCAGATGAATTGGAGGAGGAGAAACAAAATAGAGGAGTAGGAGAAGGAGATAGAGAAGAGGGAACCTCGCCGTCAGCACACCCTCCTGCAAAGTCGCCAAAAAAATCTTTCATCGCTTCCATTTAACTCGTGTGACTCTGCTTCAATGTTTATACTTTTCCCCTAAATCTGTTTACTTGGATGATTCGATTCTTTTTTCTTCCACTAACTATTCCCTGATGTGAAAGCTCGTATCTCTTTTTCATTTTTTATAAATCCTCCGACGAGAGCCGTGCCGATGTCGGCTTGGGTTGTACCATCTCGAAATCCGGCTATAACCAGGTCCACATCTGCATTGATCTGTATCGTAGGTTCATGGAGTTGAAGTTGATACTTCTATTACCAGGTGAGAGTTTTTGCGGCTGCTGGCGTTGCTTAGTTTTCTCAGTCTTAGGAATTTTAAAAGAAAATATAAGCTCTGCAAGATCTTGTTTCACTCATTTCAACACTAACATGAATTTTTATACAAAGTTAGTAAAAATCGATAATTTTAAATAATTTTCAAAGTGCAAAAATGAAAAATAGCAACATAATTCAACGATAAAATTTGCACAGTTCCAAAAAATGCGGGACAATTGAAAATCCAGTATGAGTTCCCCCAACTTCTTCTCGAAACGACGATGGAGCAAATCTGTATTTTGTAGGGAAAAAGTTGTTGAAACCAGCACAACCTTCGTTGAATTCAATATTCTTTATCGCGCATAATCTTCGTTTGGCTAATTCTTCATGTGAACTTCATCATCCTATTTTCTTCGAATCATGGCAACACTGGCCCACTTGATCGACGACAAAGTTGCAATCTCCCTGTAAAAGGATTCAACATTACCATTTTGACACAAACCATCAGTAAGCAGCCATCTTTTTAATGTGGCACCTCGACCTTTCTGAAAGGATTCAAGCTCTGTTTAGCAGTGTAAAAGCAATAGTTTCTCACCAAGAACTGTTGTATATTTCCTCGTGACCACTGCTAGCAGCTACACAATCTGCTCCACCAACACGACTCAGTCCACTAACATCATCGTCCTATCATTCTTTTCCATGTTGAGTTATCAATACTCTTCCGCAAATCGTCACATCGGTTTGATAGAGCGAATGGGATTTCTATAGCATGAACGTTGTCAGTACCAGTACAATCTTCGTTGAATTCAATTTATCTAACACAATCTTTGTTGGGTTGCTTCTTTGTCATCATCCTCTTTGGATCATGGCTATACTGGCCCATTTGGTTGTCGACCAAGTTGCCGTCTCCCTGAAAAAAAGGCTCACTAGCCTATGCCAAGCTTGATAAAGCAAATGTTTAACCTTATGATTTCTGGTTCAGAACTGTTGACCTCCAGAAGCTCTTGTTTCAAACTGTGATCATGTTTCGGAGCCCGAACAAAGGAAAAACAGCAATAATCGACGGCATTTCACACAACAGCTGCAATCACTCCGACGCTGTTGCAGATGTTTTTCCTTTTACCTATTGCTAGCAAAAATACGATCCGGTCCACCAACACGACTCAGTCCAGAATCTTCGTTGAACTCTATTTCATTTATTTAACACATTCCTTGTCTGGCTGATTTTACATGATATTAAGCATCATTTCCACGAATCATGGCAACACTGGCCTATTATTTTGACAAACAAGGAACGACCTTCCTGAAAAAGTCTTCGTTATGTGTTTGCGAAAAAAACAGTTCTCACCTTTTGAATTTTTCGTTCGAAACTATCTACCTCCAGAAGCAATTGTTACATGGAGGTTATCATCTTCAGAAGCTCAGTCGCGGCACAGCAATGATTGACAGTTTTTCCCATAACAACTTCCATAATTCAGACGCTGTTGCAGATGTACTTCCTCCTAGCCACATCAAAGAGTCATTCTGCTAGCAGCAAGACGATCCGTTTTGAAGTCTTGCAGTTCTTTTTCAAGTCCAGCAACATTTCACCCTTTCATTCTTTTCAATGTTCAATAGTCACTACCTTAACGCAAATCATCACATCGTGGCCATAGTTTGAACGAGGCACCTCGATCTTCGTTGTTTCAATTTCATCTATCTAACACAATGATGGTATGGCTGATTATTATTCAATCGTCTTTATTCGTTCTTTGAAACATAGCAACACTGGCCCACTTGGTTGACGAGGAATTAGCAATCCACCTAAAAAAAAAGAAACAGCATCATGTGTTGGCTCGATAAAACAAAGTCCCTACCTTTTGAATTTTTCGTTCGAAACTATCCGCCTCAGGCAGCCTTCTCACATTGCTGTGTTTATCTTTGGGAGCCAAATTTTCACGCGGCACGGCGATGATTAGCAGAATTTCACATAGTAGCTTCAATTGCTCCGACACGAAGTTTTTCCTCCCAGCGACAGCTAGCAGGAATACGATCCGTTACACCAACACGACCCAGTCCTTTTTGTTTTTTCATTCTTCTCAATGTTTCGTTGTCACGATTCTAACGCAAATCATCAGAACGCAGACATATTTTAATTCGGCACATCTACCTTTCTGAAGCGGTTCAAGTTCACTTTTGCAGTGTAAAAGCAATAATTTCTCACCAAGAACTGTTCAATAGAGCGAGTGGGAATTTTGTAGAACGAAAGTTGTCAGTACCAGCACAATCTTCGTTGAATTCAGTTTCGTTAATCTAACACAACCCTTGTTTGGCTGCTTCTTTGTCTTCATCCTCTACGAATCTTTTCTACACTGACCCATTTGATTGACGACCAGGTTGCGATCTCCCTAAAAAGGTTCACTATCCTATATTGAACTTGATGAAGAAAATATTTTACCTTTTGGTTTTCTTCAGAACTGTTGACCCACAGAAGCTCTTGTTGCAAACTGTGACCACCTTTGGGAGCGAAATCAGTCACGGCAGAGCGATGATTGGCGGCATTTCACACAAAAACTTCAATCACTCAGAAGCTGTTAAACTCCTTCTTAACGACATCAGTGAGCTTTTCTGCTCCAGCAGCAACACGATTCGGTCTGGAGTCTCGTAGTTTCTTGCCCAGTCTTCCAACATCATCGTCCTACGATTCTTTTTATTTTCAATCGTCACTTCTTTAACACGAATAAGCGCATTGCAGCCAGAGTTTGAATTCGGTACCTCGACCTACCTGAAACAATTCAAGTTAACTTTTGCAGTGTAAAAACAATAATTTCTCACAAGAACAGTTCAAATTGTGTTCTATTTCTGGCAGAGTTTTCATTGAGTGGCCAGAACATCGATTTCTTCGCCGTGGCTTTGGTATGAACGTTCTCCCGGCGACTTCTGAGTTCGATTGTCATCACTACTCACGGAATTGGACACAAAGCAGCAGATGGTATGAACGCTGAACCTCGATCTATCTGAAACAGTTTAAGTTCACTTTCACCGTTACGAGTTGATATTCTCTCACTAAAAACTGACTTATTTCATACTTTCTAGAGTGGTAGTTTCATCAAGTGATTGGAGAATGCCAAGAATAATGCTAAATGAGGGTATAATCAGAATTTTTGGTTCGCATTCAACATCCAGCATTGGCTCGTCGACTCCACTTACTATCGCTCTAAAAACTTGTCGGTCCGAGGACAGAATGTAATGGCTCAATGCATGTTGCTGACGCCGATTGTTCTCCAATAACATATTGAAGCAGTTTTTTCCTGTTTTCAGCTTTCAACCTGGCAAAACCGAAATTATATTGGTAACAAATGATATCTTTGATAATTACTCACCATTTTTATTGTCGAAAGTAGGCAGAACTTCGTGAAACCCTTGAAAACCGATAATTTTTTGCTCTGTACCTAAAAATTCTGAAATTTAAGTATATTAGTGCATATTTCAGCAATAAACAGCAATCGATAGGTTTCCAATACCGGTTTTCCCGAATTTCGATAAGAACAACTATGAAAATTCGTCTAATAAGCTCGAACTGATCGTTAAACCTGTTTCAGCTCTCAAAAAATAGTGTCGATTTACGGTAAACCGCGCGCGACCGGGAGAGCGAAGTGTCGTTTGAGTCTGCATCTCTACAAACCAAGTACTATTTCTCGCAACGTCATCTGTTCTCTTTTGTTTCTTCTGAAATAAACTAGGAAAAATGGAGGGACGATTTGTTCTTAAACTAAAAGTGCAAGATTTGAATGAATTTTCAAAAATAAGTTGGGTTAAATTGATTTTTTTCAGTTTCGAACCAAGAGAAGAGAAGAGAAAAAATAAAAAATATATGAAGAAAATATATGAAAAAAACATTGACAATGCAAATTAGAGCGACAACGGTGCAGAGTTCCAGGCAATTGGAGTTCATCGTGCGATTTGACAGGTAGTGTTCTCCAACTCAAAAATCGAATTGTGACAAATCTCAACATCAAATTTGAAAAAAGCGCTGCGGAACAGTTCTAGCCGGCCTTGAATCGTCTTATTGACCAAAGTGGCGTGGCTATGACTATCTGTTTTAAATAATAACTGTTTTTTTTCTGTTTCACTGAAGAATTGTGTAAAACAGTTTATGGGAAGATGCCGAAGGCCTCCATTTTCATTTCAGCTCTTCAGATAAGTATATTTAATGCACAGTGTGTTTTCAGGGATAAATTAGCCTCCGGATAAGGTATTTAACGTATTCACGAGGCAAGAACGCCTTTAATAAACGAAGCAAGCTTCTAGAGTCAACAAATTTATTCACTGTTTGAATACTACCAATGGTAAGGATTTTATTTCAATTAGCACAATAAAGTCAGTTTTTTCAGTCTCACTGAGTACTCACCATCAACTTGATTTTCTGAACCGTGGTTATGCAAATATTGGTTTTGGTTTTAGATTTGACAGCGAAAGGCAGCTGGCAAGAATGACTAGGTGACAGATTAGTGAAAGAAGCAGTTCAAGATTTTGAGGAATACGAGGCTGGTAGATCCAAAGCAAGAGGACGGAAAGCGGGAGCTACCGCTGATTATGATGGCGTTTGTACATCACAACCCCATCTAAAGGTTCTGTGTACCTAAGTAATGACACTCAGCTGTTTAGCTTCAAATAACTTGAATAAGTATTCAGAGTTGAGTGCTTGTTTTTTGCTTTGGCTTGAATTTTAGAATCTTTTTAAGTATCTTAATTGTGTTTTAGAGGATTTCTCGTTAAATATCCAAGCCGGAGATGCAACAGGAAATCAAAATCAACTCATTCGTTTGTTTTACGAAAGACAGTTGGAAAACATTCACAAGATTCTCCCTGGTTTTGAAATCCAACAAGTTTCAGCACTTCTGAATAAATACACTATAGGATTTTATTTATCATATTTATTTAATATCATCGAAACGACAGAAGAATTAGATTAGAGTCGATCAGAACTTGAATGACACATAAACAAATGCAAACTGATTTCTGATTCAGTAATTTGCATTCAAAGTCACCGCATACTAGTTGTCATGGGATGAGAAACTTCTCTGAGAACTTTGACTTTGGAAACTACTGATTGGGATTGTGTGTCTAAATGGATCATTTTTGAGAATTTTTTTGGTAGAATCTTTTCGACGTGTTTCATCAGTTCTCGATGTCGGATCGTGTGAATGAAGAATGTGACAATTTTCTGAAGAAAAAATAACATGATTTAGTTGGAAGCAGTTTTACCTTCAGAAGGATAAACATGAAGTAAAAACTGGCATCCATGCCTCCGAACAAACGAAAATACCACCAGATTTCAGGAATGAGTACAAGGAATACCGAGGCCAGAGTGATGTATGCTAAATTTCGGATTTTTTTTGTATATCTGAGTTTTAACGCTCACCAACTGTCTTGGTTAAATGTTTCATTCCTTTGCTGAGCACTGCATTTGAATTGCCGTATCTCTGAAACTTCTGAAAATTTCGTTACTTGCGTTACAAACACATAAGCATAGCAATTCACTTACGAATTTCATTCGAATATAGATGAAGAAATAAATGAGGGTCGGGATCAGAACACAGAACATCCGGAGGAAAGCCATATAATCCCGAAAACCAGGTAGTATAACCTGAAAATGATTTCTGTTCGCCACGAGGAAATGAGATTTAGTTTACGTACCAGAAAATTAAAGCAGATTTCGTCAACAAATTTTGGGTCTGACAATGATATCACCAAGAGATGTGCACCGTATCCAATGAGAGAAGCAGTTATTGGGGCTGTAAAGAAAAGAAAAATGTATTGGATAAATTAATTGTCACAAACATGTTATCAAGAAAAAGGTGTATCCAGGTCCACATTTGTTATATCTAACTGGGAATAGCACAGCAAACAATCGATCGAAAGAAATCGCTAATGTGAAATAGTTATCCATCTGAAAATAAGCTAAAAAATGTACTGAAAATGTAGGATACCGGTCAATACGATATGAAAAAATGTTTTCAAGTTGATTTTTGGCCATTTTAACCATTTTCAGACTTCTGGAGCATGGCTGCCAAGTTGTGGATCACTTTGAAAATTCTGGGCAGTGTAAAACAGATATAGATTGAAAACTTTGCATTCACAGAATTTATTGAAAATTCCTAGATTTTCAGATATTTGCCGATATTTGAAAGACACGATCGTTGGTCTGTTTTTGTACTGAAAATGTGAAAAAAGTGTCTTCTAGAAATTGGCAAGAATCTGAAAAACTAGGAATTTTCAAAAAAAATATCTAAATGCACAGTTTTCAACCTATGCCGGATTCACACTGCCCAAAATTTTCAAAGTGATTAGACACTTGACAGTCGAGATTCAGACTTCTGAAAATGGTCAAAACTAACTAGAAAACAAGTTTTTGTATAATTTATTGACTGTATTGCTTGAAAATTGCTCACCTGAATGCATATTTGATAAGATGCCACTATCACATTTCGATTGCACGCAGCTTGAGTGATGAAGAACACATCTAAATTTTCAAATATTTTTTGAAACTCAAGAAAAGTCAATTACCGTTGAACCAGACCAGAAAGCGATAGATTCCCATTGCAAGAAACTGCCCTGCACAAGTTGTATCACTTAGAGCTAAAGCGATAATTACAATAAGCTCTTTCTGGTTCTTGTTTGTAGTTTTTAGAAGATATATTGCCAGTGGGATGTTCAGAAACAGGGTTATAGCACCTTAATCATGAGTTTTCGAACACACAAAGTTTTCAATGGAATTTACCAAAAATTACATAGATGTAGGTGATAACGAAGAGATCCTCATTCCGCACATACCCAATTGGAGGCAACTTTTGGTTTTCAGACATTGTTACCTGAAAAAAGTGCTATGTAAAGTGATGTTAACCTCTTGTTAAATACAAAATGCTTCACAGAAAAAAAAAATCAAAAGTGAATGAGTTCTAAGTAAAATTTTCTTTTCAATTTACATTGTTAACTTGATATATTATACGTTATGAATAATGTAATTCTTTTTATTAATAAACCCATGATACCAATAAAACGGTACAAGAAAATGATCAGAAATCTGATTCTTGGGAAAAAATGATACTGGATTCTGAAGAATTTATTACAAAAGCCAAAAGTTAGTTAGCACTGTGTTCTCTGGTTTTTTCATGTTTTTACAAAGAAATGACACTTTTTATAACAAAAAAATTTAGCAACAAAAATCTGTTCATTCTGTCTACTACTAAAATGATTTGCACCCGTAAAACAACGAGTTATCGTAGCAACACGTGCTCTTAGACGTCTTCTAAAAAACTGAATTACTGCTAATCTAACAATCAGTCCAAGTGAAAAACCAAGAGCAAAATGACTGACGGAAACTAAATTAGCGACTCGTTAGTCATGATTTTATTCGAATGATCAACTCGAGCAAATTCTTGCTGCATAGACTCATAAATCACTCAAAATGAGCTGGGGGTGTCTTGTCATTCAACTTATCGTAGTTGACAGATTAATACCAATGACTTCAGAGCTTTTTGTGGGTTTCCTGGAGTCTGGGACATTTCCCGTTTTGCAATTTCATGTTATGTCGTAGGGAAAAAACCAATCGGTCAAAAAAAAAATGAAACGAAATGCAAAAACACAAGAAAATATGATTAGGAAATTGAGAAAGAAAAAAACCAAGAAATAGCTAACTTTGGTAAATACACGAATGATATATATTCCGTTTTCGACTTTTGAAAAAATTCGACGACGATTAAAATTAACAATCCTGGAATTTTGGTTGTCTGAAAAACTGTGAAATAGAAAGGCTTGGCATAAACTATATAACTGAATATATCAGGTTGTTCAATAAGTCTTTGACACTTTTACTTCGCTCTATGTCGCTTATCCTATTTTGGATTTTTTTTCCAATTCTGTTTTCATATATATTGACGTCACACATTGCATGTTCCAGGCACTGTAAAAAATTTCCCTTAAACAGTGTAATGGCCGAGAACCAGCTCGATCAACGGCACATACTCAAAGGAGTGTTTTGTCTGTGTTTCTCCAGGGTCTCTAGAGCAACGAACCCTGGCGAACGAGATCCGAAGAGTTAGGCGCAGGCACCATCTCTTGGACCGTCATTAAGTTTTGGTTCAAAATATTCGGAGAAGAGAGCTATAATCTAGAACAACCACCAATATCGAAACTCCCTAGTCTCAGTATGAATGACGATATTTCGATGTTACTGAAGAAAGAGCCCCGAACTATTTCACGTGCAGTATCTTTGTCAGTCCACCATCCTAATACATTGATATCCAATAATGTTCACCAAACGGAAGGAGTTCAGCGAGTCGGTCGAATCTTTTCATACATTTTGACGGGATTTCAGAAAAAGGTACGATGTGACCTGTCACTTTCTCTCTGCACCAAGGAAAAAAAGGGAAGCTTCAAGAAAAAATCAGATTTTTTCGATTTGGTTAGGCAGTGCTGGAATAATATCTCGCAAGCTGCTTCCAGAGTAAGATATGATTAACTCTGACTTTACGGCTTTCAAATAGAAAGTGGTATTTATGCTCATCGCTCTCCCCTACCAAAGGGCACGGTATTGAAACTTTGTTACGACAACGAAATACCACACAAATCTTCGAAAACCCGCGGTAAGCTTGAGCCTGTAGGAATCAAAATTCTTTCTTGCCCACCGTGCACTTCTCATCTCGAACTAACTAATTACCATCTTTTTCGATTTTTCCAAAACCGTTTTTCTAGAAAGAAATTCCATGATCGGAAGGATATCAAAAAATTTTTGGATCCATTTTTCGCCCGCAAATCGCCAGAGCTCTAAGCAAATGGAATCACCCAACTTTTGTTGCACTGGCAAGAAGTTGAGAACTCTAATGGCAAATACATTTCTCATTGATTCTTATTTTAATTGAAGAAAACACCACTTGAGAAAAAGTGTCAAAGACTTTTTGAACAACCTAATACCAACCAGAAAAATGAGACTTTACAAAAGAAATAATAGAGAAAAAAGGTTTTTCAGCCTTCACAGATATTCAAAAAAAAATGATTCGGAAAACGAATAACAAAAAGAAAAAGGTACTCTACAATGTTAATAGACTGGAGGAAATTTGGACCCGACTTACACTTGGGAATAATTTTGTTATATAAGATAACGCAGGTGAAAAAAACAAAAAACAAAGGTGATGAATATGCTGGAAAGTAGGCAAACAGCAAGCAATAAGAAGACAATAACAGGAAGATTGAGCTTTTGCATTATTTTCGACATAGTACGTAGAAAAAAAAACAACTCAATAAAAAGGTTCAAACCAAGTATCGAGAAATGAAAATTAAAGGAGGCCAGACACAAAAAAAAGTTTTCCTGTTTTTTTGCATAGAGAACCCCCATGAGGGGTTGAACTCATGACAGGCAGCTCAGGGGTACAGCGCCGCTACCGGCTGAGCTACGGGGGCGCAAAGGCGCCTGACGACCGATGGTCTACATAAGCGCGGCGCGATTTCGGCCCCCCGAACTGCCCCCGAAATTTTTGCTGTCTCGCCTCCTTTAAGCTCAAAATTTCAAGAGATCTAAGTACTCTTGAATTAAAATAACAGCAAAAATTTAATCCGAAACTGCAACAGAAAGTTCGATGAAAAAAACTGCAACAGAAAGTTCGAACAACATTGCAAACGAAATAATCCACGACTTTCAATGAAATAGTTTCACGAAAAACAACGCATTTTAAGTACCATCACAAGTGTTCCCACTTTGGAAACAAGGAATATTACATTTAGTGTCACGTTGATTTTAGTAGTTCAGAGAAACGGTCATCTTTTCGATCTTTTTCGGAATTTAAAAAGATTTTTTGTACAAACCACATTTCCTCTAATAAATGCCCACTCAACCGCCAACTTTGAGCTCAAATATCTCGATTACGGTGAAAGATATCAAAATTTTGTCAACTGGTAGATAATAGGTAATATTATGATAAACACTTTACTGGTTAACACATTTTAGGTTTTTTTTTGTCGAAATCGAGATAATTTAGATTCGTGTTGCCGGCTTGTGTGAGCTTCTATCAGAAGTAGTACAGTATCTGAAGTCTTGAAGCACACAAACATCATTTTTCTGTGATGCATTCAATATGTAATGCGCTTTCTTCGGAACATTCACGAATTCTCTCACACGACTTGTATGAAATATCAGACTCAATCTGCTCCAATTATCAGATCATTGTTTTCAAAAATTCAAACAAGTGGTCGAATTAAGTTTTACTGAATAGTCTTGAATCTGAGTTTTTCCATGACCCGTATCGTAGCAAAATTTATTGTTATGTTCAAGTTTAAACTTTTTTCTGTTTCTTCCTTTGAAGATATCTTTACAATGCGCCAATTTCAGGCATTAAAACGGCCAATCATAGAGTAGTGAAGTTTCTAAGCTTTGTGACCCTTTTCTTAAACAATTTTGAAAGGTCTGATACCAATTATTATTCATTTGAAGGTTACAGTCACACTATCCACAATTTTGCTCAAATTCAGAACAATTAAACGACAGAGAACGATATTGACCAGGTTTATCAGAGAACAGTATCGACGTTACTCAACTGTTTCGATGCAACGCGCAATGGCTGCCGAGGCTGAGACCAGCCGTGATGCTGGAGCAAAGGTAAGACGATATAATTGTTCAATTGCAACTATTACGCTGTATATAATCCACACCAATTAATTGCAGATTATCGCTGCCGAAGAAGAACCGAGAGCATCTGCCGCTCTTGAGGAAGCCGCTACCGTCATTTCGAGGGTGCCATGCAGCTTCTTTACTTTCATACTCTAAACGCGTACAGATAAGTATAATAAGACCAATTTATTTTTGTAATAAAGATCACAGGGCATTATGAAGCTGCCTATATTAAGGAAAAAGACGCAAACTAACTTACGTTACATTTCAGCTCCGAGAACACCAGCACCATCATCGTCCCGTTCCCAATGTAAATGTTCGGCGGAATCAAGATAGGAGGAGCCATGAGCGGTGCGAATTTTCCAGTTCAATAGATGGTACAAGCCGCTCTTCAAAATATCCAACGCCAGGATACAATTCCAGTTACTCCGGAAGAAGCCGATTCTAATTCAACGGGACGGAAAAAGAACGTCAAGAAGAACACCAAGAACCAATTCGAAACTGCCTAACCATGTTATCAAAACTGCCTAGCCATGACTCCATTTAACCGAAGTAATTTTTTTTTCATGATTCATTCCCTACCGCTTCTTCCTTGCAGTCATTTTTTTTCAATTGTGATATTTCATGCTCTTTTTTAGTTTTGTGAATGCCAATTTACAAAAAAACATTGTCACGCGCCTAATATGTCATAAGCGGAGGTCCTTTCTATTACAGATGCCCTTCTGGTACAAGTTTCCCGGTATCTGGATTCTGTGAACACCTTTTTGAATTTTTTGATTAGGCTTTGATGAGCAATTTTTCTTTATGCCGGAAAAGTTCCCGCAACTTTAAGGAAATAAGCCCAAAAATCAATCATTCAAAACATTTATTGTTCAGAAAAGCAAAGTTTTGAAATCATGTTATCACCTAATAAGCCACTCCTAAACTCGAAAACGTGTCTTTCCATTTTCCCAGACAGTTCCAATTTTGAGATTACTTTCAGCACTTGAAAATGGAACTTGAAATATCAAAAATTCCCATCGGTTTACGCGAATTGAGAAGCATTTTAGGCAAGCGGATGACCTTTGCAAAATCACCTCCCTAACTATTAGTTTGAACCAAATTTCCTCGGTTTCTGTGGAAGATATTTAAAAAAGTGGTCATAAAATCTGAAGATCATGAGACACCTTCTAATTTTGAAAAAAAAATCTAATTCTGAAAAAGGCTAGAACATCATGCTTCAGTAACTAGAACATCGCGCCGACGACATTATCAGATTCCGTTTCTATTTCACTTCACAAATTGTTTCAAAAAAAAATTTAAAATTCTCAGAAGTCATTTTGAAATTCTAATATGTTTTCCATCTGGTTGTATTTGCTCTTTCCCTCTCGTACATACAAGAAATATGACTATTTCATCACAAATTTTGTTGATGTGGTTGGCGTACTGTTTCTTGTTTGTGTCGGTTATTTATTTCTTCGTCTCCCAGTTGCACCATCAAAATGATAAGTCGATAAATAATTCATGGAAGCTTCTAGTGCAACCTCACACAATTTGTTTCAATTTTCGATTATCTTCATTCTTCCTTTCTCATTTTTCGCCATTTCCCCTTCCTCGCTTTTGTTTCCTCTCTCACTTCCGTAGATTTTTTTTTGCCGTTTGTGTGTTTCTGTGTGTGTATATGCCCTCAAATCTCTGCATTCTCATTTTCGCTTCACCTTCCCACCCCTACTGGCTGCGTTCCATTTCGTTTTCAATTTTCAATTTTCAATTTTTCAAGACACAAGAGTCAAATCTCCTCGAATATGACAGAGTGAGTGACTTCCAACGTTTCCACTTTTGCCTTTCTCGGGGATGCATTTCCAAAAGTCTCCTGCCACACACACGTCTCGTTCTCCATCTTCTTCTCTCTTTCCGTGTGCATTTTTTCCCCTTCTGCTGGTGCCGGCGGTTCTTTCCGTTGAAGTCTAACGGAAAGAAGGCGAGGTATAATTATCCTCGACTTTCTTCCAACCTCCTCTCGCAGACCCTCCTCGTATTCTGGCCTGCTTTTTTGCGGCACATTGGTTTTATCGTTGGTTCGCAAAATTTACGACTACGACTCGATTGAAACCGCATTTTGTCTGTCCGTTGCGCAATTTTCCCTCTCCTGTCAGCTATTTTTCTAGATGCGACGTTTGAAAGTTTGATTTACAACCTTCAGAACGAATTGTGACGTGGAAAGCCATGCTGTGTTCCAGAAAAGATTGATTGTCATGAAATGTATCACTCTCCACAAAACTGATATGTATATTCATATTCAGTTTCTCTTTTTTCATCACAAAAAACCGAATTTCCATATCAACGATCGTTTCTTTTTTTTCTCCTCTTCTTTCTCTTCGGGCAACATGCCTCTGATCTTTTTTGCGATCTTTCATTCCCACTAACTACAGTATCCCTGTTTGAATATCCATTATCCCACTTTGGAAGCGGCTTGCCATCTTTTTTCTTTTTCAAAAAAAACCAATCTAGCCCGTCTCTTGCTCTAACCCATCTTTCTCTCTTCTAATGCAATCAAAGGCGTCCCATAATGACTAACATTTTTCAAAGACTCATATTTTCTTTTGACTTATCCCCTTCTTTTCTTCTTTTTCTTCATTTCCCCGGCTAAACATTTTCTCTCTTATCCTTTTTCTTTTTGTTCCTCTAATTCCTTTTATTTGGCATTCTCGTTTATATTCCCTTTATCTTTTAATCTGCATACATTTCTGATAGGAATTTCATGCCTTTCCTTTTAGTAAGTCAGCAGATTTTTGGCTAGTATCGAGGCTCGGAGCACACAATTCATCCACTTTTTCGTAAGCAAAAAGCACCTGTTCTCTGGATTAGCTCGATTTTGTAGGTGAACCACCACCAACAATAATAATTGTCACCTGCTCCGTGCCCTCCCATTTCGTAATCGGAGTATACAATTTTTGACCTCTTCCAAGTAATTGAGAGTGGGAAAGGTAAAAATGAGTCATTTTACGGATACAGAAAGATTCAAGGTGGCGTGGGTTCCAGACTTTCTTTGGAAACAAAGTTTAGAACCCTCCCGGTATCCGTTTCTTCAATCAGCAAGTTTATCGTGACGCCTGCTTAAAAAGTGCCTCCTAATCAACTTAGAGCCAATATTACTTCTGTCCTAAGTAAGATACCAAACATTGGTCCACTGAAGAAACATTCAACACTATTCCATAAACATTTTGTCAGTTAAACTGTTTTTGTTAGCTTTCACAGCAACCGAAGGGACTTTAGTCAAAGTTGACAGTTCTTCTACTACAGGTTGATAGCAAATTTTGACAAAACTGTACTCGATAAGAATAGTACTTATCCCAATTAAGTCTGTTAGTTTCTAACGACTTCAGTTCTCAAATTTGAGATTTTGGACCCAGAACGCAAACTAAAGTGATGCCCAAATCCCTAGGATTTATAATTCTCATAGTTGAATCTAGTGGGACTCTATTTTTCTTAGCGCACCGAGACCTGCAAAGATTAACAGAATTTCATGCGGCTTGAAATATTTTCTGGAAAATCGCATAAAATGTCTTGCGGGTCTCGACGCGCTAAAGGTACAATAGCACTTGTTTAGGATGTACGAATGAAAAATCCTCTTTTTACTATTTACTAATATAGCTTCACGAATAAGTCCACTGTCATCACGTTATTTGTAGTCCACATACAATATATGTATAATAAACACAGCTACTTTCCATTCGAAAGTCCACGCGGCTAGAGATACACACACAGAAAAACAAAAGGGAAAATTATATTTCGCAACTTCTATATTTCAGCTATTGCACTCCCTCTTCCACTATTTTTGAACTTTTTCCCCATTGTTTCTAATTGGCTCTTGTTTTCTTCTTGAATTAGAGTAGGCTAGTTGAAATTTCGGCCCTACAAAAGTATGCTTGTTTTATCTGATCCCTTCTTAAATAACACTCCAATCACCTATGTTGTCAGCATGTGCGAATTCCTTTTTATATCTTCGAAAAGTGCATTCCTCGAGTTTCACTGTAATAATTAGTAAATTTTTGTTTTGCAGCTCACGAGTAATTGCGCATGACCAGATTTTTGAGTTCCTAAGTGACGTTTTGTGGTTTTAGTTGAAACCGCATTTATCAGAATTGTGAGTTCGGTCAGCCAACTTGACCTAGTTTCAGTCAAGTTGGCCTAGTTTCTGTATACTGGCTCCAATAGTTATGAATTACTAGCTTTTCCCTTGACCCAGTTTCTTTGTTATAGTTCCTATAGTTTGATTATCAATCCTTAAGTATTATGTAGAGCTTCCACTCAACGTTGAACATGAGGATACAGCAGTTTCCTTGCACTTTCCTTTTGCCAACTCGAATCATACTTAGTGGTGTCACGCTCGATGCAAAATGTTCATAGGCAACAAGAAACATAGGACTACACAAAAACAATATAGGAAAAAAGAAGAGGAAGCCAAAAGACTCCCGGAAAAATAATTGGCACACAGCGACACATACACTCACTGTCTTTTTTTCCTCCTCAATTTCATTTTTCGTTCGGTTTGCTTCTCATTCAATCTTTTTCACACATTAAGTTCCATTTTTTGCGGGTTTCGTCGTTAAACATTGATTCTTTCTTTCTGGTGGGTGCAATGAGTTTGTTCTCATGGCCGCCGGCTCCCACCCATTTTGGCCTATTCGTTGTTTGAAAGAAGGGCGAGATGTGGTGAAGTCGTTCTCTCCGTTCTTATTTGTTGCTCTCCTCATTTTCATCTCTTCTTCCCCTCCTAGGCTTCCAAGCTTTCTTTTTCTTACCTTTCCTCTCTTTTTCTATGTATTTTTTAGAGATGTCTACGGGAGACACTCTTTATTTGTTTTTTAGTCCCCACTCTTCGCATGAATTGTTCTTTTTTTCTTCTTCTGCTACTCGTTTTCCTTTTTCAGTTCCATCTCTTGTTTCATGTTTTGAACACATTTATACGTTGCAGCCCAAATTTATCAGAATGGCAGTAAGAACTGCAAAACGGGATGATAGGAATCAGTCAAAGGAGGTGGTCAGGTTCAGACGGTGGATCGCAATGACGCCAGATTCCAAGTGGAGAGAGTTCCGGGGAACAGCGGATATGGTTGATGTAGGGAGAGGTGCTAATTTAGTTGGTGAGTGGAAACTTTGTAAATTTTCAAGTTGAGAAATTTTTGCATGAAAACTATGCTTTCACTGAACAAAGAATAATTCAGCTTATGGTAAAGAATTGTATAATTTTACAAAATAACAGTAATACCGTATTATCTTTAACAAGGTTCACTTGAACCATCAACTTTGAGCTCAAGTATCTTGGTTCTCGTGAACAAAAAAACGAAAACTTGTAATTAATAAAATATTTATCTAAATATCACCAATCTTTTATTAGTTGTCAAGTTTTTGATATTTTTCACTGGAATCAAGATAATTAAGCTCAAAGTTGACTGTACGCTGGGCTTCCCTTCCTTTCGGACTAAACTCCAACAATATTTCCACAAAAGAAAACCATTAAAACAAAAGAGTGTGTTATTTTTTTCAGAACTAGTAGACAAAATGATGGGGTCACGAATCGAATTATACACACAATTTTTGGATGGTTGGAAAACGATGAGGAGTGGTTTATCAGAAGAAAATGCCACATGGATATTCAGTGAGATGATTTCCGGTATGGTATCGCTGAAAAAGTTTGAAATTGAGAACTTCTCGAAAAAGAATAAGTAAGATTGCTGGTAAAATGATCTCTAAATAACCTCCAAATTTTAGATGGGCGACTCCGAACAAAAGAGAAGCATTTCCTTTGTATCTATCAGATCGACCTGTAAAGGATGGTAGTTTGACAGTAGAAGCAAAACCAATGTTTGAACTTGACAAGCAGATAGAGATGATTTGTGGCCCTTCGTTTCCTAAAGCTCTTGTTAGTGAGCTGAAATTGAAGTGAGTTGGAGAAAAAACAACATGTATACTACAATTCTAAATTTCAGGATGAACATTGCTGATATCGCAAGAACTTCACAAAAACGAAGATTCGGTCAGGAGGTGAATGGTAGTGGTAATGAGCCGAGTACCAGCAATTCAGTAGAAAAGTTTGTTTTCTCAGAATATGGATTGAACAAAAAAGTCAAATATTTAGGAACCAAGAATCTTCAAGAAACCAGAATCGATCGAAAAGCCAACAACCAACAACATCATCAAACAGAATGGTCACAATTCGAGAAATGGATGTTGCGCTGCAGGAAACTCCTGTTCTAAAAAGAACAGAAGTTCAAAGTAACCAAGGATTGACAACTTCAAATTCTGCTCCCGCAGAATCAAGACCCAGATCTCGAAAAATGTGTTCCGGATTTGGACTCATGTTCGACGGAAATGGTCAAACCAGAATAACTGTTAGTCGAACATCTTCGTTCGATGGTGGAAGACTCCGAATGATACCAAATAGGGCAGAAGTTCCTCAACAACCATCGGAGTTCTTTCCAGCACTGAAAAACGTTGTGCAAAATGAATCCACAAATGATCAACCAAAATTGATGGGTATTTTGGTAACAAGAAATGAAAAGGGAGAATACATTCCAATTGGATTAACGCCATTGACTGTTTCTCAGCTAACTTCTGGAAACCGACAAATCCTTCAAAATGTTGTTCTTGAGGAACCGGTCACAGAATTGGAGCTGGTTACTGATAGCCGTTCATTAGAGCCGTAAGAAAACTTTTTTCAAATCTGAAATTGTAACTATAATATTTTCAGCGCAAGCCCAAGTCGAGTGGATCCAAGACGTCCGGAAGATGACCGTTTGTCCACAAATGCAGTTTGTTCTGGAAGCACAACAAGCGACTCTGGATTGAGCTCTACATCTGAACAAGGTCACGCCTCGACTCGTTCAAGTTCTCCTGGTTCCAAAGTTTCCCAGCGTCCATCTGAAAAGGCTAAAAAAGGGAAACAAGATGTTCAGAACTCTGGTTTGAGTTCTCCATCCGAGCAAAGCAACGTGTCGACTCGATCCAGTTCCCGCGGCAACAAAAATTGCTCTTCTGGAAACGAGAAAACTGAGGGAAAATATGACCATAGTACCGAATTGAACACCTTATCTGAATATCACCAAAAAGCTCGCCCTCAGTCATATGCGTCTGTTGTCTCAAGCCATGCCACTAGAGATTATGACAGGTACTATACTAATTCTGGTTGACAAGCCACTTTTCTCTATTTTTTTTCTCATACGAATATTACAAATTTAGAACAAACACGCCAGCCCTTGCTGTGGCTTCCTCCTCTTCCACTAGTGTTGCCATAGCAGCAAATCTGTTGGGAGATGAAAAAGAGGAGGAAACACTTGTGATGTCATTAAGACAGGGGAATATTGGAAGGTGAGCTGGCGATATCATGAATACGAAAATAGTATTGAAAAAAGAAATACCGTAATCTAGTTGGAGTCCATGGGCTTCTATTTTTCAACATTCTTCTCATAAAATTTTTTAAAAAACTGAAACCATCAGAAATTTCTTGAAAAAGCTAGAAAACGTCTGTGATAACCAAAAAGACAAACTGCAGAGTAAGAATTGCGCTAACTAAACTGAACAAACTTCTGTTCAAGTTGCGTTTTCAAGTTTTTGAGCACGTCCGAGGGTGGGCTTCGATGGGCTTCAAATATAGGTGATTTTCTATTAGAGAAAATACGGTAGATATAAAGTGGCTCTTATTATCAAGATCAAGGATTTCAGAAAGCCAAGTGACGATAGCTGGATTGTGGTCAAACCAAAGAATCCGCTAGAAACAAATGAGTCTTTGTTCCCCACATCATCGTTGAATTCAAGATTGTGTGAACCGTCTACTTCTTATGCTGTCTCGAAAAATTCTAGAATCGAGAAGCCAAATGCACTCAATGAGTATGTTTCAAATTCTCAGACTCAAACAACTCCGATTCTTAATTCCAGTGTCGCTGAAAACTGGGACAATGTAGTGGTGGATGAACAAGCAGAGAAAGAGCATGAGCTCAAACGGTTGAAGAGACAGAGTCACCGAGCGGCCAAATTCAAAAAGGAAAAGGAGGAAAAGAGAGCTTCACGATCTGAACAATCTCGACATGTGGAGCAGAAGAATCTGATGGCTGCTCATGAAGAACCAATTATTGAAGAACAAACATCTGAAAATACAGTACGAACTGTCGCCTTGTATGCTCCTTTGACTTCGAATTTGAATTTGATGAGTTTAATCAACGCCCATAACGCCTTGAAAGAAGAATATCAAGGCACATATGACCCAGTGACCCAACAATATTCCGATGGCCATATTTTCCACGAGTATGCAGATGAAATTGAAACGGGAAAGAATAGGCAGCCGAAAGACCTCATTTTCGAGACATCGGAGCTGCATGCCAAATTGGTATTCAGACTTTTATGGTTTGAGAACAAGAAAAAATTGGATAAGGTTAGTGAATAGAATGGAAAATAATCTGAAATTTGAACTACAGTAAACGCTCGAATAGAAAACCTCCGTCGACTTGTGCTCTTTGAGCTCAATTATCTCGAATTCTAGAAGAGGTAACAAAAATCTGTTAATTGATAAAATGTTCGTCATAATATCACAAACGTTTTGTGAAGTGACATATTTTTGATATTTTCTGTATAAGTCGAGATAATTGAGCTCAAAGTACAAGTAAGTACCGTAAAACATGTATTCGAAGATCCCTTGTAATAGAAGCGCCCCATTCAAAATGTGTTCTTCAAAATAAATATTTTCGTGCGTTTTGTGTGAAAAATATAGGGGAGATTCCCCAATTTCACAGAAACTCGATAACTAACTTTTTTGTTCGAAAGTTTTTCTCAATTTGATAAAATAAATGTTCATTAATTTTGAACGGCAATTTGTCGCATTTTTTGATGAAAATTCTTTGAAAAAAGTGCCGGGAAAATAGAAAAACCCCTTCTAATTGAGAGGACCCTGTAATAGAATAGCACTTCAGAGCTAACTTGGAACAATAGAAAGACCGCACTTCTACATACAGGTTTTAGGGCATATGGTGGCCTTCTATTAGTGTTCAAGATAATTTATTCAAAAACAAAATTGTACTGTAGGTTTGAAACATTACAGCAAACAACCCGTAGCAAAAAGTACTTAATTTTGAAATTCTTCTTTTTTAGTGTATTGTTGATGACGCTACTCGAATTCGGCTCCAAGACGCTCTTTCCATGGTTCGAACAATGAAAGATCGTATAGACATGGCTGGCCAAATGCTTGTTTGGCGGATCACGCATATCAATCTGTCATCAATGAAAGAATTCAACATTGTCTCGATTGTCCGGAATCTTATCGATGTACAGAGACGTAAGTATCATCTTTATTCTTTCTATTTGCTTCGAATCATAAATTAGAATCTTATCTATTTTATCGACTCGCCATAAATCTTCTGAATCGACAATAATACTAGCGGAAAAGAATTTGAACAGAAATAAATGCGGTCGGGTTGAATGAAATTTATTGCTTAGCAGATATCTAATCACAAAACATTTTTCGGCTTTTCAGAACACTTTGAAAATGATTTGATGATGGCAAGAACAATGGGAGACCTTGTCGATGAGGGAAAGCTGGTCAAAAATTTTGTTTACGAAAGTGAGTGTCATTATTGCTCAATTCACAGTATATGTACTTGAATGTTTCAGAACACGTGTTCACTATATTGAAACTTCCGGAGCTTCTTGTACCAAAATTGAAGGAAGGAAACGCAAATTCCAGAACTTATCAGGATATCACAACTCTCGTTTTATTATTCACAAAACGTGTAGAGAAACTTTATGAGGAATTTGGCAAACTGTATGAGTTCAAAGTTGTCAAAGACCGTCAGCGAGGTCGACGAGGTTATTGAAGAGTTTTCAAATCACCCATTCCTTCTAAAAAATGATCTCTTCTTCCGCTTTTCCCACTACTTTCCCAACCATTTTTGAGTTATGTGTCACTCTATTTTATTCTTCAATTCCAAAGTTTTAATAAATTCCGTTATTATTACCTCCCTCTCCAAAAATGCAAAGAAGGCGGCAGTCATGAAAAGTTGAAAGGTTATCAATGACCTTTTTGTCTTATCTTCAGCGGTTTTAAAACGCCCATAATACCCATATAAGTCGAGACCGAGCGGTGTTATGAAGATTATGAAAGAGCCATTTGCTAGTTCCAACAATTGTACGTTTTCAGACTTTTGGGAAAAAGATGGACGCAAAAAAACCTAGATTGAATTATGACGAGCAGTGTTCTCGGCTAATCTAAGAGACAAAAGAATGAGTGTAATCGGATTGTGGCTAGTATTAGTGTGTGGAAATTTTTCATACTGTGGCAGCCATAAATATATGACAAAACGTGTTTCTCAGTTGAATTTGACCATTTTCAGGAGCCTGGAGCTCGGCTGTCAAATGTCACTTTGAAAATTTGGAAGGGTGTGAAACAGACCTAGATTAAAAACTTCGCATTCACAGAACTTTCTGAAAATTCCTAGTTTTTCAGCTATTTTCCAAATTCAGAAAGACACCTTTTTTTCCGATTTTTGTACTGGAAACATGAAAAAAAGCAGGTGTCCTTCAGAAATCAGCAAACAACTGAAAAAGTAGGAATTTTCGAATAATTGTGTAATTGCAAAGATTTGAATTTAGTTCTGTTTCATAACCTCCTAAATTTCCAAATTGATCCGACACTTGACAGCCGAGCTCCTGACTCCTGCAAATGGTTGAAATCAACTGAAGAAACACGTTTTTTTCACATATTTATGGTCAGCACTGTAGATAATTCAACACTTCTTTTTTTCTGTAAAACTTCTTTTTGAAACATTGACTAATCTGAAAAGTCAAACTGAAACATTAACGTGATGTGATGTGCCGAACGCAGTTGTCAACATCGCTTCTATTCACATTTCCTCCTAATTTGATCAACACACAATAGAAAATTGGGAAAAGAATGCGTAGACATCTTGACTCCTGATAAGATTAATCCTTTATCTTTTGACTTTTTTTCTTACGGAAAAAAACTAATCCTGTAAATGGATTTTCGAGGTTTGATTTGTTCTAACCCAAGAGTTGTACTATCTTCATCAGAACTAAAGCTTTGAATGCATGTTTGTCAAGTAAGCAATACATTTTTATTCGATTTTCATGATAAGCAGTTTTAGTGAGCTAATTAATGAAATGATAAGAGCGGAAAACCAACTGTAACACGGAGGGAAAAGTATACACTTTTATGTTCACTTGACACAGTATGCACAGATTTTTTAGTTGTAGCCAGAAAGATGTAAAGCAATTTTGTGTGAATTGATGACGTCCATGAGGAATGAGGAGTATACCGGGAGGAGGAGAATATGACTTGGAATGTTGTTATTCTGAAATTTGAAAAATAATATTTGTCGTATAACCCATAACATTTCCAAGGTTCTCCTGTCGTAGGAAGCCCTTTAATGAGCGTTCTAAGCTCACTACCCCCCTCATTATTCTCAGCCTGGTCCAAACAACATGCAAAAAATATACTTACGTTGCTGCGGAACTTGTTGGTTTCTTCCTCTGATCGTAGCCAATTCCATCAGCGAGTTTTCAATGGAATTCCTCAGCTCTACTTGATTTAGTTGTTGGTCAGCAGCAATTGCCACCAGGCGATGAATGATTTCTGCCTGATCTCGACTGAGCTCGTTCCAAGGAGTATTCAGAATCTGGTTCATTTCGTTATGAATATCGTGCTGAGCAACTGGATTATTGACATAGGGTGATGGATCTGCAGGATGTTGTTCTTCCACTTCTAAGTCTTCTCCAACAACAAGATCATCTTCGATTTCGGAGGTCATCAGAAAAGCTTCATCATCGGACGACATGATGCTAAATGATAGTGACAATGATTAGACACCAGTAGACAGGAAGAAGGAAAAGAAGAATTGTTGAAAATAAAATGATGGAACGCCGTAAAATTTTAAAGTATGTCTGCTTTCGTCTTCCCCCTTTTCTAGTTAGAGCAGTCTTGAAGCTCCACCCATGCGACGTCGTTTGTGTCTGCGTCTCCTTTGACACAAACACTATTTCTGGTCCTCTCTTCTCTTATCGTATGATATAACTATCAATTCCAACATGTGGATGTGGGAAAAAGACGGGGGACAAAAGATGAAGGTGGAGAAGAAAAAATGAGAATGTGAGGTTGGAGATTTACATAAATCTCTATTTTATTTATTACAGACAAAACTGGGAATCAAATAGAATTTGATTTGAAAAGCAATTAAAGACGAAAGAAATGAAATAAAAGTGGGAGATAAAAAGGGAGGCAAACTGATTTATCACTGTCTGATAGGACATTACTTGATTAATACGAGTTAGTCGTTCTTTTATCGGTTAGGGGTGCCGGTTAAATGATCGGAATGCAAAGTCCTGACATTCGACCTAATTTGATTTGAAATTGAAAAAAAACCAGTTTCCGGGTGGTATTTTTTCCGATAAAAAAGCTGTCTAGATTTGCAACCCGGTTTCAGGCAACTTCAAAAATTCAAAATTCAAAAATTCAAAGATAACTTCGAAATCTATGAAACTGTTATTCTTTCGATAGTGAAACTTGTGCTCGCACTTCAAGCACCTTTTTTACTTCAAAAAATCGTACACATGACATAAAGTTCAATGTGGTTGCTCGAAAAAACAGTGAAATTAGTTTTACTGGCAAATACAACGTGAACACACTCATAAAATAACCACCCTAACCAACGTTGACATCAAATAGCTCATTTCCTGTAAAATATATCAAAAAGAAAACTGGCAAAATGTTTCTGATATTATGATGAACATTTTGTCAGTTTACCGCTTTTCGATATCTTTTCACAGGAAATGAGCTATATGGGCTCAAATTTTTTGTTTTGAGAGTCATTCTTTAAATGTGGTTTCAGTATAACTTTTTTTCAACTCTGAAGTCCTAAAGTAAATAGTTCGAAACAGGTACGCCGAAAAAAACGCAACATTTTTGTTATTAAAAATACTTTTTTTAAGATTCGAATGGAAAATTACGCGGTTTAAAAGATTTTACGAAATATCTGTTAAGAATAGGACTTTGTTAAAAAGTGCAAAAATAAAGTTATTTTTTGTTTAGTATGTTCTAAACTTTTCAAAAAACCTAAAGTTCAGGAATACTTCACTTTTTTTGAATTTCAAATAAAATTTTTTCAATGAAAAGGTCAAAACATGATAATTTACGACTTTCAATTTTTTTCTGAAGTAAATAGTTCGAAACAGGTGTTGGGGTCCTTTCAACCTTCCCGTGATAATCGATAAATTGAAAGTCGTAAATTTTATTTCTTAAACTAAAAAGTTGTTCTGAGTTTCTGCTCGCAATCATAAATTGTTGCTGAGAAATAAGAAAAAACATCAAATGTCATGTTGAAAAAAAAAAGAATAAAAGGAAAGCAAATGAATATGGAATAAAAATCTATGTCATAGCTACGACACGTTGCTCATTTTGAACTGAAGAAGAAGAGAAAGACATTATTGGAATTCCCAGAATTTACAGTGGACGATTATACTTTAAACATAGAAATGGCGAACAATGCCTCGCGAAAATTATCGTTTTTAGAACAACTTGACAAACAAATTAAAAATAATTCAACGGAATGTCTCCTGTGGACATTCTTCCCATAATTCGGAATTCAATTTCAACAACATGTGTTTTTGTTTTTTTAGATATAACACAGGATTTTCGAAAATGCGAGACACAGCTGTAAATCATATTTTTTCGCGCACTATTCAATGTGTGATTGACAGGTGGCACATATGTTCTTATGTCTGTACTTTTTTTTTTCGAAAATTACGATTTTTTTTAACAGAAAAAAAACTTAAAATTGGAGTTTTGCGGTACCGGACAAAAATATATCAAATTATAATTTTTTTTCATGGAAGACGCCAATTTTGAGAACCTGAAAAAATTCAATTTTGCACACGTCTCAGTGATGGTTTTGAAAATTTCGGTTTTTTAGTTACAATCAGAATATCTTACCAAAATAGAATTTGGCGGAAAAAATGTCAATTACAAAAACTGATCTTTTTCATGTGTAATGTGATCTCAACTTTTCCTAGTAAAGAGAAAACAATCAGGATTACTTTTTCAGAACTCCAAAGTTAACTATTCCCATAAAAAGATCAAAATATAATATTCATCATGCTCTCCCACAGAACAGTTTTGAACTGCAAAATAATTTTTGATCTACCTGAGAAGTTTCGGTGTGGCAGGTCTGGAGCAATATTTCAGCATTTTTTTATCTGATTTTGTGGAGATTCAAGATGATGCAAATAATTTTCGAAATATTCTAAAAAAGTTTAACAAGGAAAATCAAACTTTTTTTAATACTAACGAAGAGCAACATTTTGCGGTCTTTTAGATACAGAATTCTTGGAAATGCTACAGAATTTTAGATACAGAATTCTTGGAAATGTTTAAAACTGAAAGAGGAGTTTCATTTTTTCTGTACAAAATCTTGAAAATTAGTTTTATTTTGAAAATTTTCTTCCGGAAAAGGACCAAACAGGATTCTATAACCACTAATTATTTTTTCAAAAACATTTGAATCATTTTGAATCCCTACGAAATCAGATAAAAATTCTGAATTTTTGCTCCATGCCTGCGACACCGTAACTTCTCAGGCAGATCACAAATTATTGCAGTTCAAAACTCTTCTGTGGGAGAGCGTGTACATATAAAAAACATTTTTGAAATAGTGAGTTATGAAAACAGAGGGAGAATAAAATTGAGAGGGTTTTGAATGTGATCTTTTGCTTTTTTTTTTCAAATCTTCCAATCAATTTAATCTTTTTTATCGGAAAAAATATTTAGTTTCTTTGAGCTTCCCTCGCTTGTGACTGTCTATTTCAACCAAGTGAAAAATATAATCTTGTATTTATCAGTTTCAGGATTCATGCGTTTTCGATTCAACAGCACATTTTTTCAAATTCAAATTCAAATTTCTTTCAAAAGTGCACCTCCCTAGACCACCGTGACTCCTTTTTTGTCACCCCTTTCACCTTTGCCGACTACCAGTTTGACTCAGTAGCGCTTCCTTTGATGGCTCTCCGCGAGAGAGTGGAGAAGAGCCAATCAACAAACAAGAATTTCAAAAAATGGAAACGTCGTTTGAAAGTTGGAGGGGTGATAGGAAACAATTTGAATTTGAATTAAAGCTTTGAAAAAAAAACAAGATTGCAACATATGAAATTGCTCATTTATTATTTAAGCAGACTGAAGAAATGAAGCACTCCTTGTATCAGCTCAAAAATCAGCTCAAAAATTCAAAGTAAAATTAATTCAATTACCTGAAAATCAGTAAAAAACCTTTTCCTAATTTTAGATGTAAACCTATTACTTGAGATTTTTGAAAACTATAAAATGTTTTACTTTTTTCGAAGTATTCAGCAGGGATGTTCGGAACGAGATTAAAAATTCCGAAACATTTTTCGGAATGAAATTTCGTTTGGATATTTCCGGAGCTCTCTTCGAAATTCAACTCCAGTCGGATTTTTTCCGAAGCTTTTTTTTTCGGAATTCCGAATTTCTGGACTACGGTATGTCAAAAGCGCAGACGAACCAATTTCTTGCGTGTCTCCAACAGGATGACTTTAAATATTTTTCTGCGCTGTCGAAATCTTGATGTCAGTTTTTATTAGTTTCTAGCATTTCTGGATCGAAAACAAAATTTCTATTCGAAAATTTGAATTTTAAGAAGTTCGAGAAACTCCAGAATTCCGAAAAATTCCGGGAAGGCCATTCTGAACATCCCTGAGTCCTCGGTGGAATTCTTGAAGCTAAACAAAGATCATCAGATTTTTTTTCTAAAAACGTTTGATGCAATATGACAGCTATAAAATTTCCAGCGCTATATAATAGCTGCTCGGACTGCTTTGGCACCCCAATATTCACTTTTGCTTCTTTTAAAGTACTCAAAGTCATACAATTGCATTCATTGCACAACCCTAGAAAACTGTGTTTAGAAAATGAAGCTTCATCAATCAGAAGAAAAATAGAAGGAACTTAGCTAGTATAAAAAGCCATTCTAAAATAATTAATGTTTGCTTTTTTTAATAGAATTTGAAATCAAAACAAAGTTCCAACTTTTTTTCATTCAGCTCCACAAATTACCCGCGCTATCTCTAATTCATACTTTATGACCTTCTAATTACGCCATCAAACAAATGATGTTTCAATGTGACCTATCCCATTTTAATGATTAGGTAAAACATCTCATCGAATAAAAAAAGTCGTTTTGCTTATTCAACAGTTTCAGATCTCTTTTTCAATTGATATTTTTTTTCTGAGTTTAAACAATTTCTATTTACTTAATTTCTTTAATTTCTTTGATAATCCTAGATTTCTACCCGTTTCTGTATCATACTATACATTAGTTCAAAAATTCTAGGAAATCATTTTGGCTCTATTGGGGATCAAAAAGATAATCCGGGGTTTGAAAAAAGTTTAGTGGACTTGAATAAAAGAGAATGTTCTTTTTTTTGGTGCTAAACCGGAACAAAGTTGTCTTTTCAATTTCCTGAGCTCATAAATTTTTCCAACCAACCTGGAAAATCCAGCTCTAAAATAACAAGAGATCTTGAAAAGTACAGAAGCCTCTGTAAGTATGCTCATTTTTTCGGTTTCCAATTAGTTTTCACTTTAATAAAAACCCAATTTGTTCGTTATCTACTTGTTCTCTTTTGCTCTCGACCGCTCATTTCATTTTTTGAAACAAAAACTCTTATCAATATTTTTTGAAAACTGATTCCTTCATAGTGTCACGGGCGGTATTCTTCTTTCTACTCATCTATAAGCCACAATACGAACCTTTTTCTCGAGATTTCCATTTCAAATTCAAATTTCTTTGAAAGTGCACTTCTCTAAACGACCGCTCCTCCTTTTTCCCTTCGTCTTCGTTCTTTTCACCTTCGCCGGCACTCTGACTGACTCAGTAGCGCTTTCTTTGATGGCTCTCGGGGAGAAAGTGCCAAGAAGTCAATGAGCAAATAGAAAATTTGAAAATGGAAACCTTTTTTTGAATAGTGAAGGCGTGATTGGCGACAAATTATAGATGATAATTAGGGGTCTAAGCTAACTCTGGGAAAATAAGTAAACATTGATGCCTTGCACTATACAAAGTTATCTTGTTAGAAAGGCGTGTGAGTATGAAAAACCGTGTGAGTTCGATTTTTTTCTTTTCAGTATCTGACTAGAAGTCGATTTAGAACATGTGTGTGATAAACCTACAAAAATAGTGAAAAAAAAACATCTGAAGTTTTAAAAGTAGATACCGTATTTCCTCTAATAGGAGCCCACTCAAACCGTCAAACTCAAGCTCAATTATCTTGATTCCTGTAAAAGATATGAAACATTTGTTTAATGATAAATTGTTTATCATATAATCACCAATATTTTGTTGTTTTGTAATTTCTTGATATCTTTCAGAGGAATCTAGATAATGAAGATTAAAGCTGACAATTTGGGTGTACTTCTATTAGAGAAAATACGGTAGACGTTTAAAAAAATCCTCCGTTTCCTTTCTGGGACTCATAAAATTTTGAATTTTCTAAATTAAGTTTTAGTTTTTTGTTGTCTTTTTGAATCGTTCAACAAATTTAACTTTAAAAAACGCCCGAGTAAAAACTTCAAATTTAACGAATTTCAAAAATAAACTTTCAAAAGAGATATTTGTCAATTTTTAAAAGTTTGAGAATTTCAGTTTTTCAATTGAAATTCGCTGTCTCCAAAATTCGAGAACACTCCAGAAAAGATAGAATTGAGCATAATGATACGTTTTATGTTCTTGTGTACGCTCCGATTGTTATCCTCTTCTTTAGTCCATCTTATCGGTGTCACACCAATCTAATCTATTTTTCCCTTCCAGACTCTCTTTAATCGAACGTTTTCTTTTAAATTGTCGAAATCTCCATCACTCTTTTTTTGCATTTTTGTCACCCAGACTCCACCCCCAGGTATGGGGCCATTGCGCCACCCACCCAAGCTCCGCCCCTCGGGAGTGCAAAAGTCAAAAAAACATTCAGCCCTTCCTCGCATCATTTGAATCTTGAGAGGCTCAGAAGAAGAGGTGGGCCAATTTAGGCAGGCATGGAAACGTGTGAAACTTCCTCTCCTTTTTTCTCTTTTCCCTTTTTTTTGCCAAGGTGACTCCCGAATACGTCGCTATTCCCAGTTCGTTTTTAGTCTTTTAATTCGGCGTCCCCCGCAAATTCAGTCATAAGTTCAAGTGTTCCCATCGGTCTGACATTGATACTGTTTACCTATCTCTTGTTAGGTTCTCGTTTTGGTGGCATTTTTACTGCCGTCCAAAGAGGCCTTGTCTATCTCTCTTTTTAATCACCTGAACAAGAAACCCCCTCTTTTTTCTATCGTTTTCATCTCTTCTCTTATCAATTCAACAGTCTTTTTTTTTCCTCTTCTCCTTTTTTACTGTTTTTATCATCATTATCATCTTTTCAGGTATCATGGCGCCTATCAAGTCTGGTCGTCATGTAACGTTCAGACCGTTTGCTGAAGTTCGTGTGATTCGTGACAACGACTCGGAGAGTAACGTTTCTGGAAGCGAGAGCGCCGGATCTACTGGATCATGTGTTTCGTACAATGTGGATGACTACTACAGCAAACCAGTCAAGCTCAATCAAGTTTTGCTCAAGAAGCCGGGACTTGTGAAGAAGAAGAAGGTTCCGGAGTTCGATCTCAATGAAAGTACGGTGGCTCATGTTGGACAATGCGAGCCATGGAAAGAGACTGAGGAGCCGGTTGACAAGGTTGATGAAGGCAATCTGAAGAATTATATCGAATCGATGTGGAAAAAGCCGATTTCACTGAAGTGAGTTTGCTTTCAGAATTTTTAATGTTTTTGATAGTTTATCGTGAACAGTCTAGTGCCCCCCCCCCCCAGACCATCAAGTTTAAACTCATATATCTCGTTTCTTAAGAAAGATACCAAAAAGTAGCATACTGTCAAAATGTTCATCATAATATCAACAATATGTAGTCAGTTAATTACTTCTTGGTATCTGTCACAGAGAGCGGAAATTTTGGCTGCGTGGCCCCAGCGATTGCTTTGGTTCTCTCTGAATATCCATAGCGTCAACATTAAATCAAAACTTTTGAATTTGAAATACAACCCTAAAACCTTCGATTCAGCTCGTTCCTTAATGAGGCGCACTTGAGTGATGAGTTAGAATTGGACAGAATTGATTCTTCGGACCCTGAGATGATCGCCATTCCACCGGCCAAAAAGAAGAAACTTCTCACCAAGAAAGCACGTTTCTTCCACAAGCTTCTGATGAAGAGAAAGGAGAAAAAGTCTCGCGACGACGAGTTTTGCTTCAAATACGCGGAGAAGCTTTATATGTTCATCAGCCGAGCTAAGAAAGGAAAAACGACCAAATCAATCCTCAGTGAAGGTAATAAAACTAGTTTAAAAAATTAAAATCAAAGTTAATTTTTTCAGACAACGAAAAGCCTGATGATAACAAAACAAGCGCCAGTTTCTTGGAAGAACGACTTCAATTGACCAACATTCGTTTCGACACTTGCAAACTGGACTTCCAACTGAAAGCGGCTATTCGTCATCGCATCCAGACCGGAAAGCTGGATCATAAGGTCAAAATGGCATACGAGGTGATTATCGACAACTACAACTCCGCTTTGGGACCACACTTCTTCGGACTTTTCCACCACGTCCACGACAGAAACTTCAAAGATCTCGAGGCTTCCTTCCTTCTAAACCAGTGGTGATTTTCCGCGGTCCCCAGTATTAATTTCATAATTGTATCTCTTAATGTGGTTTATATTCGGTGTAAGCATTAATGAACAGTGGCATCACATACATTGTGAAAACGAGAAATAGACGGGAAAGAAAAACGGGCGATAGAAAAGAAGGAGCGAAAAGAGAGTAGAGAGAATCCACGTCATAAATTTTTTGCCGCGGGTCGCATTGGATTTCTCTTTCGTCTTCCTGTCGCTAGTAATGTTCTAGTTTCAAAAAAACTGAAGGACATGTCATGTAGACAAACAATCATATGACTTTCTCTTAAGAATCTAGCATAATTTGTTGACTTTCATTTATGCGACCTTTTCGAAACTAAAGTTGTCTTGGGAAAATAAGTAAACACACAAACCTTCAGTTTACTCGAATTCAAGTTAGTGCGTCATAGGGAAGAATGGGGCCTGGGGTGTTTCGTATTTCCGAAAATTTTGAGTTCCAAATTTTCATAATTTCGGAATATTCTGAATTGAACAGTTTTGGAATTTTTCAATTTTAAAAAATTTCAAAAATTTCGGAGCTTTAAAATCCTAATTTCCAATCACAGCAACCCGAAAAGTGACAAAATAATTTCGAAAAATGAAAAAAGTATAAAATTTTGAAATATATTCCTGTCGGCATTTCCTACCGGAAAAACACCAAATTATAGTGATTTCCGGAATTTCGAATTTTATTCCGAACAATTTTGTTCCGAACAAAACATGTTTTCACAATTGAAGAAAAACTTCAAATAGTTGAATAAAAGAAGAATATGACTTATTAGACAGATACAATTTGTTAGAAAAACTACAGAAATGTTTTTTGTGATTTGATAATCTAAAAAGTGACTAGGGATTCAATGAGGAGGATAACACAAAAATTGGTAAACTATTAAAAAGAGTGAGCGTTATTCTTCGAATGTTCTTTACTGGCTGACAATTTTTAAAACGTGCCTAGAACCAAGGGTGTCAGGGAGGAAAGGATGTGCTTTGTAAAACTTTGAATGTTAGAAGACATCGAGAGAGAGAAAAGAGATAGGACTATACAATAAAAAAGAAGAACGAGATGATTTGAAATATGAAAATCACGAGGTTTAATATCCAAAAAGGAGCCAGCTTTCATATTCTCTGAAGTTGTAAGCCTTTTTTAGCATCATGAGAAAGTAGAATTCCGGACCAAGATATGAGTTGTACATTTCGAGAAGAGTTTGATACCCGACTACAGTCTCCTCAAAGGGGCAGTCTTCAATTTGTTTCTCGATAAAATCCCGAACAATTGGGTCCAGTTCACTTGCATCCCACTCGTATTCTTTAGTGAATTCCAAACGCATTCTGTCAATAAGGGGGAGGGAATCGAATTCTGAAAAAAAAAATGAAATTTAGGAAATCAACACGCGCTAGTCTGAAGCAGTTTTGAAAAAAATCACTCGAAAAAAGGCCTCTTTCAAGAAATTTTTGAAAATTTTTTACAAAAATCGCTCGAAAAAATGTTTGAAAATAATCCTCGAAAAATGTTTTTCGAGAAATTTCTCGAGAATTTCGATGAATGAAATCCACCAAATTCTTCGAATAATGCACAATTTGAAATTTCGCTACATACGTTTTGGTGGCCTAACTTTTGCAAGTTGCGTTTTTCCAAGCCCCCCCCCTCCCCCATAGGGGCATGCCAGCTCATTTTCGGGCCATTTTTTCATGGTGGCCTAGAAAATTCAACTTACAAAAATTAGGCCATTACGTAACAATGTAATCGTCTTGAAGAATTCCTCGAAAAAATTATCGAAAATCTCCTTGTAAACTTTTCGAAGTTTTTAAAGGAATTCCTCATAAGTTTTCTCGATACCTTGTCCAAAGGATACACTGACCAGCTGGTTAATTCAGAAAAAAATCTAGTCTCAAATTCTCATAAACGTCACAAATAACTAACCAACATTGCTCAAATTATCTTCTTTTCCCTCTATGAGAATTTCGAGTCTTTTGTTAAGGTGATCCCTACATATCTTCTTGGTTTCCTCCACATCAATTGGCTTCTCCTCTTCCACCTCCTCTTCTTCCTCCTCGTCGTCATCCTTCTCAGCTTCAGCAATAGCCTTCCAGAATTCCATCTCCTCTTCTGTCCATTTCCTCGGCGCTGGTGGTTTCTCCTCTACTGTCCATCTTCGGCTGCCACACCCATTGTTCTCCTGCTCTTCCTTCAATCTGCGAGCAGTTTCTTCTCGGTGAAAATCTGAGAAGTCGATTGGTCCGGTAACCACCACCGGTTTGGACGTCAATGAAATTTCATTCATTGTCCCTGAAAGAAAATATCATTTCTCAAACAAAAACAAACTGAATGGGAACAAAAATGAGAGCTCTAAACGCCAGATGGATTGAAATTTCAAGAAACTAGGTAAAAAAAGTACTGGAATGCCATGAGAAAGTCCTTCACACTTTCATATCAACTGATCAACTTTATATAGAAAGAGAATGAAGTCCGCACAAGATATGGCGGGAAAATTAATCCTGCCGCGAGAAAGAAAACAGGGGAAAGTGTGAGGCTCGAGAATAAAGGGAATTATGACTCCTCGATTTATTTTTGCACTTTTTTTTTTCTTAAGCCTCAGCTAGTAGCATTATTCTCAAACTCCTCCCAATTATTTTTTGTTTGAAGTTGAAGATAAAACTTTTTGAGGACTTTCAAAGGTGGTGTGCGGTGAAAATTTTTGTTTCTTCATTTTCTGCAGAAATTAATGGAGATTGCCATAAAATCAAATAAAAAATTCAACAATTCTTTTATTGAGAAAAACGGCATAAAAAAATCAAGGTGGGATCTGGTTGCCGAGTGAAAAAGTGGGTTTTCTAGGCCAACTTTGAGAAAAAGCGCGCGAAATTCGAATTTTTTTAATTTAACTGTTTTTTCCAGATTTTTAAAAAGGTTACCAAAAGTATCTATCAATGTTTTACCAGGTATGAAAAAATCTGAAAAAAAACGGAAAATCATTTAAAATTCGAATTTCGCGCGCTTTTTCCCAAAGTTGGTCTAAAAAATCCCACTTTTTCACTCGGCAACCAGATTCCACTTTGATTTTTTGATGCCGTTTTTCTCAATGAAGGAATTTTCTTTAATTTTTTTTCTCAACTTTACTTTCTTTTTTTTTCATTTCTATACATTGATTTCTGCTTGAATAAAGAAAGAAAATTTTTATCTTACACAACCTTTAATACGATTCTTTAAATTAGTCGCATAGAATAGATTTTGAACCCAACGAAAATTGAGAAGAAAATGAGAGGAGAAGGCAAAAAAGGAAGAAAAACGGGACAATGAAAAAAATGGGACAATGAGAGCGGCAAAAGCCAGAGGGAACATTTTCATTTGGTCGTCGTCTTTTTTTTCTACTTTAGCTGGTCTAAAAAGGATCTTGCCAAAGGAATGACAAGTGCAATGACATCTAATGTGCTTGTGTGTGTGGTCTAGAAGAAGAAGGGGGGGGGCTAATGTAAGATGATGAGCAGAGATGCTATCTGTATCATGGTCTGGGGGAATGGTGGTAGAGGTGCACAGTAGAAAAAAGGAGACAGAAGACAGATGAGGTAAGGTCTAAACAACTAAAGAAACAATAACAACACTGGTTGCATCTTCCCGTAACCAAACTGGCTTATGAAATCATTAGCAAAACAGATACAGTGAAAAAAACAAAAACTTCCAAAAACCTTGCAGCGAAAAGCGACAATTATCTTATCACCGACGCTCTTCAATCTTATCTAAGAACATCTTCTTTTGTCGACAATTCGTTGGATGTGTCTCTATGGCGGGAAATTGAGCGGAATTCTCTGTGTTTTCATCTCTCCTTTTTCCCTCGTTGTTGGCAAATGGGGGAGAATAAAAAAAGAAACATGAGGCAGAAAAAAAGTTCCTCGCAATCGAGAACAACGCCGAAAAAATTGAAAATTTTATATCACTCTCGTTCTGAACATTTAAGAAAGAAAAAAAATGATAAGAGAGGGAAAAAAAATTGAAAGTGTATCACGAGTGCGACACGCATGAGAAAGCAAAAAGTTCCCGAGCTCAGTTCAAATTAGAGGGTGTGAGAGACTTTGGAGCATATAATTTTTGTGACTCTTTTTTAGAATGTGAGTAACCTCAAACTGAAATTCGTGAAAAGCAGAAATAAGTAATGACGAGGATAGGAATACTGCAGGAAATCCAAAAAATTACAAAAAAGATTGAAGAAATATAAGTAGAAAAATCAAAACGTTATCGGATAAACTGAAGGTAATGACCATTATTATCAATGACTATCTGCCAACGCCCCACTAAATTGTGAATGTCTTCCTTCCAGAATTCCGGTCACAGCGATTCGAAAATCAAGTCAACCCATTTTTGATTCTCTGTTTTGAGGTGAAGTTTTTCAACGAAGGTGACATTAGAAACAGCTGAATAGGTAATAGTTACAAAGTACAAGATTCGAGCTATACGGTGAATAAAACAGCATAATCCAGCCACACCCAGCGAGACCGGCCTGGGTCTTCCTTCCCACATGAGGTTGCGGAATTCGATTTTGAAAATAAACCGTTGTGTTTCTCTCCAATGAAGATCCGCATGAAGTCTGAGTTATGTCACCTGACAAGAATAGGTATCGGTGATAAAAGTGACACCATCATCTAGCAGCTCCCAAAGCTCCCCTCCTTGGTAGACCACCATACCGACAACATCTCATTTTTAACATAAATTTCACGTTTTGGGACGTCTGGTGGTTGAGCGCCTTTGTCAACCTTGGATTGTTGTTTATGGTAATCATCCATTACCCATTTATCACCACTAGTAATGATTTGGTTCTAACATTTATGTGTGCAACGCAGGATGAGATAATTCAAACAGGTGCCCACACGAGAAACGAAGTTGCATTGAGCCAAAAGGTGTGGTCTATATCTTCCCACTTTTTTTTTACTTTGCCGAGAGTTTCCAATTCATGGCTTTTTGACGAAAAGCTTGCCACGTACTTGATATATCCCGCACAGTTTGAGACTGTACCCTTTAGATCCCGTTTCTTAATGAATCCAAATCTAAGCCCGTTTGCCTTTCTGAATGGGGATTTTAGTTGAACGATATTTCTCCTTTTTTAAATTGATGAAGCCAGGTTGTGATGATAGTTGGAAAGGAAACGTCTTCGTTGAAAGAAGGTACGACGAATTCGAACGTTTTCAAAATCGAACAGACCTAAAATCAAACTGATTCAATTCAGAACAGTCTTTTTTGCACACTTACCAGAATAGAACGCGGACAGAATCGAACTGTTACAAGTTCGAACTGGTAAGGGGTCGAACTGTCCCAAATTGGAACGCTGTTTTGTGTGTGCTTTCATGCGCGCTCTGTTGCAGGCGTATCCTCCGTTGAAAACATCCACTAATCGGAACTCGATTTCAGCAATTTTCCGGTCAGATAGAAACAAACATAAAATGGCACTCCGAAAATGGAAAATGTTAGGGGCAAACACGGTGAGCATTTCTCACTACGCAAAAAGAGGAGAATGATCTCCGTTTGGGTGTAGACACTATTAGACCCCACCAATCTACTGATAAAACTTTAGCTACCACGCTTGTATCTTGCTCACAAAAGCAATGTTTGAAAACAGGCGATCAAAAATGACAGGTACTTTCCAAACAACCTAATAGAAGGCCCCTTCTAATACAAAGGGCGCTTACAGGTAGCAAAACAAAGTTTTCATGCTTAATAAACAGAGTAACAGTGGAATCTAGAAGTTTGGTACTATTTTTTTTTCATTTTGGTACCTTATCAGTGAAGTAAAAACCCATTTTTGTAACCTCGCATCATTCGAAAACACTCCTTCAAAAAATAGAACGCCGTGTCGCTATATTACAGTTTTTACGGTAATCTCAGTGGTTCCCCTTAACAAGTGCATCGGGCCGATCACAAATTTTTATGGTCAAATCGATTTTCACTGTTCGGTCATTTCAGATAAGGATGCAGAACGTTTTCAGTATTTTTGGGGAAGATACTACTGTTGTCTATTTTCAATGCACGTTGCGGCCGAAAATTCATTTAAAATCGCAAAGTCGGTCGAGCAGAGAAAATACTACGGTATTTTACAAATTTATACATTCGACTTTAAACCGTACCTCACCTATATAGTTTGTGCCCAAACTTGGCTGTTTTTATATTTTTTAAATAAATTAAAGATTCATAAGAACTAGGCAAAAATTGACAAAAACGGGCGAACAAAATCGAGGGAAAACGGCAAAAACCGTTTAAAGGCGCATGTATTAATTTGTAAAATACCGTGTTGTTTTTGCTGCTCAACCGACGATGCGATTTCATTAAAAATAGAAAATAGAAAATAGGCAGTAATAACGAAGAATGCAATTTTTAAAACTCTCCTCAGGAGATGTGAGTGTTCAGAATATTGTAGCTCAACAGTTTGAATTTCAAATCTGAAGGTAGGTATTTCTCTGAAGGCAAGAATACTGACATAGTGGAACTTGAATTGACTGTCACTGCCAATTTTGAGATAATTATGCTCAAAGTTTACGTATAGCCCTGCATTATAAGGGCCTTTGATAGAAACTACCGTAGAATGTCCACCTTTACTTTTCACTTTAAGCCGTAAGAAGTTATCTCGATCCCAGTGAAAAATATGAAAAGTTAGCAACCTGACAAAATATTTTTGATATGAACATAAGCATTTTGTCAGAATATTACTTTTTGATTTTTTCAAAGGATCCGAGATAAATCAGCTAAAAGTGAACGATTGAACTGTGGCAAGTTAAATTTTCCCAGTTTTTTCCCCACTGAATATACCTTGAGAAGTTTCACTATCATGAAGACCACACTCTTCAAATGTGTACCAGTTGTACCTACCCATTTACGATGAGAACATGCTTTTCATGTGCCGCCAACTTGTTACTTTTTGTTTTTACCAACAGGCGCAAAACCATTTGAACTCTTTTTCACTTTGTTACCGGGTGACTGAATGCTCCCTTGAAGATTGTTCGTAAACTGTCATGAAATTCTCGTTATCATTGTGATTGTGTGGCTTTTCATATTCAAAAAACGCAAATCAGCATTAATAAGGCAGTGCTATTATTTTTTACAATCGCAGAAGCATACTATTAAAACGAAGCATTCCGAATTGATAAGGGTAGTGGCGTATTCGCTTCATCAAAAATAATTACTGATTTACTACTTTCTTTACTTGTTTAGTGTAATAATTTTTGTATAAAGAAAAGATTCTATCAATTTTTTCTCTCATTTCACACCTATCGCCGATGGAATATCCCTTCGTCCTTTCGCTCGACAATTCTCCTTTTCGATCAAGTGATCAATTAAAAATCTCATTTTTCTACCTGGCACCCATACACAGATTTTATGTGCATCATTAGAGGATACTGTAGACTATTAAAAATGTAATTAGGAGCTAATTCGTATCCATTTCCCGCACTGTGCCCATTACTTTTTTTGAAATCGAGGTATTTTCAAAATTTTTTTGGGGTACTGTAGTGGAAAAATGGGCTCTGTTCGATGACATCAAATTTGAAACAATTTTAATAGTTTCCCCCTCAATCTTAAAAAAACAAGTTTCCTGTTCATTTGGTCATGGTCCCGCTCATTCGGGCATGGTCCCCCTCATTCTTTATAGTCCCGCTATAATCGAACAGTGCCGAAAAATGTTTGAAAAGATCTTCTATTACAAGGGCCCTTTTAACTAGACTATTTTTTAAAGCACATAATTTGGAGATTACAACGATTCGGGGTTCAAAACGGTTCATCATATCTCTGCGCCACTGAGATAATAGATTTATTTTCATTGGAGACGCAGAGAGTCATAGCTTCTACTAGACGCAAAAAAGTGGTTATGACTAATGGGCGCAGGACCCAACAGTTCCTTTTGCAAATTGTACACAATGCACTCTCCTTCTTTCTTGCCGTTTATTTTGTGTTAGCCCCCGTTCCTTCAATTAAGTTGAAAGACAATTTTTCTCGTATCACTCTTTTTTCGTCATCTTTTACGTACTTTTGTTTTATGATTAGAGATTTATTCCCTCTCTTGTTTGGCTCACTCAACAAGATTAAACAAATTTCCCAGGAAGGACCGCCCACGGAGTATTTAGAAAAAAGGACCTCAGTAGGTGCATTCAATACCCCCAGCAGCTGCACTAAAGGTTTTTTCTTCTTTGGTTAATACCATTTTTTTTTCCATTATCCTTGTCTTACAAGTTCGTTGGAGTTCTCGCCTATACAGTTTAAGTATGATATTAGCAATAATCAGAGCATTTAGGATTACGGTATGTCAAAGGCGCACGCGGAAAATTTTCTTGTTTTCAATTTTTCGCACTTCCGTGCTGGGAAATTTCAAAATCCCAAAATGTTCGAAAAGCGGAGCATTCAGAACTTTTAAAATACTAACTAATCTGATATTCTGAATTTTTTGACGAAGCTTCCATAAACGGACCCTGAAGTTCTGGAGATTTAAAATTCGAAGTTTCGACATTTTTCCAAAACTTTTGTTTTCGTCTGGATTACTGTAGAAACTCATTGTGGAATGTCCCATTACTATTTGTCTACTCAAAAACAAGCACACCGCTTTGAATGTTACCGAAAAAGACAAAGTCACACCTGAAGGACATTCAACACATGATCAAACATTTTGGCGCGTAAACAAGGGTCCTGGCACCGACTGTTTTGTTTTGTTTGATTTTCTAGTGCTTGTCATATGCTTTTTCTGCTAGGGAACGCTTTCTGCATCTGTTGTCATCAAGGCGTGTGTACCACCCGGAGACAACTTCGACAGGTGTCATAGTCTTTTCTAGCTTGTTGTAATTTTTAAAATGTATTTGACTGTTCGAAATCTCTATTCAGTATGGTGGGTATTATAATAGAGACGCAGATGAATCCAAAAAATTAGTTGGGCGGAGTTTTTTTTTCGGACACTGTCTCCCCATTCACTCTTCTCTTTCTCTCTTCCTCAAAGTGCACAGTATTTCAATTATGTTTTGCTACACGATCCGCTGCTTGTTTTCAAAAGTTTCTCTGTTCTTTTCTTTCTGATTCCTCTTGTCGTTTTTATCTAGTGAATTTCAGCCTCTCGCCCAAACATGAAGATCATCGCCATCGTCATTCTTGGCATGCTTGCCGGGGAACACCACGTCGCGGCCCGTCCCCCATCTGCACCCTATATCGGAGAAGTCTCCTTTGAATTCTATCAGAATCAAACTTTCGGATTCAGAGGGCCCCTCAAGGAAGTGCTTGGAAATGGTGAGTTTCGGTTGGGGGAGGAGAGGAATCAAAAAATTTAGAACTTCGAGAAAATAAACTTGGGGTTTTCAAAAATAAAAATAGTATCGGAAAAATTTTTATCGTGGGAGAACATTAAAAAACATATTTTTCTCATAATTCCGTTTATATACGCCCCTCTAGGAATTAAACTTGATTGACGGTGTGGCACCGTTAATGACTGAGCCATACGAGTAAAGAAGGAGCGGGCGATTGGTATGCATAACGGTGTGCGCGATAGCTCTACGCAGAGTGACATTAAGCGTACACCGTTACGACAGAATGCATACTGTTGATCCAAAGTTTATCCAAAAAATCTCCTGTCCATCTCCCCCCCCCCCCTCCTTTGAGTAATTTTATGATTTGAAGATTTCAAATATACCTATTTTCTTTGATATATATCAGAAACCTACCAACTGATGAAATATTGGTGGAGTTAAGGTGAATAATTTTTATTTTAATATTCTCTGAGATTTTATGAAGAGACCGAGATAATTGAGATCAAGGTGCACGTATAGGATGGGCTTCTATTAGAAAATTTTGCTGCCTCAAAAACTAAGAAAAACCAGCAAAGTATTTGATATATTTTTCTTTTGACAGCCTGTTCGGAAAATGGATTTATTTTGTTTCAGCTAAGTATTACGACGCGCAGGTCACCATCAGTTATGTCTGCTCTGCTCCGATTGCCTGGAGTTTCGGAAAATGCGACAGAAACTACTACCGACAAGATCGTGAGAGCTCGAAGGCGAGAATTGTTTTCGACACTGCAGGCGTGGATACTCTTCTCAAGTTGATTGAAATGGAGTGCTATGAACCTGGAAAAGATCAGGAATAGTGAGTTTTCGGGAATGAAAATGTTCAATTATTCCTTCAATTGCAGTATCCAATTCTACATGTTCCCAACAGAGGATTCCTTCACTAACTGCAGATTTGCAGTGGCAATTGCTGCGGAACCAATCGAGTAAGTTAATACGAGACTGAGGTTTCAATCCAAAATATAATGAATTACAGCATGGAAAACTTCACTCTTTTCCATTTGCCAGGATCCGCCCTCCACCTGTACGAGGAGAAGCCACCAAAAATCGCCGAAACCGCCGAAACGTCCGAAGTCAGTGATCGTCATCTCCTTCTTCGTGGACTCATCGCTATTTCATTCTTCATCGTTGGAATGTCAATTCTCCTCACACAATCGTGTTAAGAGTTCCTCCCTTCCACCCCACCCGACCTTTTTCTATACCATTCTCATCCTGTTACATGTAATTCTAGCTCCCAGTTCACTACTTACAATTTTTCATCCCTCATGTCTCGGTTTAACAGTGTTTTCTCGAATCCCAATCTGAACTCCTTCCACATTTTCTCAATTTCAATTTTTCTATTTACTGTTCTTTGAAGCTACCTAGAGACAAAGAAACGATTCTGAAATATAAATCATTTTGTGTGTTTCAACTTTTGCTATTTGTGTTGCAAAAGGAAGAATCCCATCAAATAAAATGAAAATGATAGTTTATAGTCCCATTTTTCAAAAAACTGAATTCGATGAAATGTATGATATAAGTAATGAAGAAAGTGATAACAGATTAAAATCATTTCAAAAGAATTGGATTTGAGTGATATGGAAGATCATTGAGAAACTTGGAAAATTAAAAATTTCGAATCCTCGGAAGAAGAGAAGAATCAATAAAACAGTTTTTTGCAGGACAGAAACATTAGGAACAATTTCTACCATATTTTTTTTCAATCTTATCTCCTCTTGCTCCTCCTCAATCAATTCTGATAATCTTTTCTTTTCAATCTACTAATGCTTTTTTCCAGCTTTTCTTTTCATTTAAAAACAATTTTCCATCAGAAATATTGTCTGTCGGCTGGCAAACCCTTGGACTACTGTTTCTAGCTCTTTTGTGCTTTTCCGTCATGGGTGTATTTCTCAAAGTTTTCTTCATTCTTGCTATTACATTCTCAATAACTTTTTCAAATGCTGCGCAGTCTCACTATTTTTCCTTCCACAATTCCTACGACCTCCGACTCTCGATCAAAAACATGATTTCCTACGGTAATCGGGTTTTATTTATTATAATAATTATAACTCATCTAAGTCTTGAAAATTTGAAAATATCTTTTTTCAGTGAAGGGAGATTATAAATGGGTTTCTGTTTCAACTAAATGCTCATCACCTGTCAGAATATACGTTGAAACGTTCTCGAATGTCATTTTCTCCCAGAAGGGACCGCAAAAACAAACGACAGTTACTTTTGATTTGAAAGCAATTGAGTCGTTGTTAACGTTCACAGGGAAAAAAGACGCCAAGAAAAATGCAGATATGTAAGTCTAGAAAAAAGGCGAATAGAGTCTTAATAACATCTTTCAGAATCTTGCTTCGGTTCTTTTCTACCAAATCCACTCTCACAAAATGCCAACTCACCTTCAATTTACACACAAAGCTCAAGTAAGTTTTTGGAAGAAATCAGCATAGCATTCACAATCGACCATTTTTAGCAGTGAGAATTTCCAATTCATTGTATCCGACTCTTACGAGCGGCTGGAGCAGCCATCGGATCTTTCACATCAAAGAATCCGTTTCTACATGATTCTATTGGCTGGTTTGCTGATCCTCATCTTCTCGTCCAGCGTCATCGTAGGATGTCTAACGTCTGAGGGTTTGAGCGAAGACGACAATGTGGTTGAGATGGGTGAGATGACCGAAGTTGGCAACCAATTAATTTAAGCGAAGCTTCGCTCCGAAGAAATGGAATTATCTTTCTGTGTTTCCAAACGAAACTGAATTTTGAAACTACAGAGATCAACATTCAAATTTTAAATTTTTTCGTTTTCAATATTACATTAATAAATTAATTCAAAAAGTTTCTTGAGTAGCCTTCAACCATGAACAGGAAGGCCAGCCGATACCAGATAAAATACAGTTGGCACTAACTTTTCAGAGGGAAGGCAAAAACAATTGATTTGAAAACTCACCAGCAGAAAACTTACCAACAAGAAGAATAATATTAATAGGAATAGTAAAAACTTTGAAGTAGCCAAAATAATTGAGTTTCGAGTGAAGAACCATCTCTTCTGAACGCCTTCTACCGCTACCGTCTGTGCTGGGTTTGAAGTTGAAATTTCATTTTTTTTATTCATGTGCAAAATCCCATTGGTGTTCAATCACATTGACTTAAAGCAGATTGATGATTTTTTTGCGGGATGCGCAAACGTGTTTGAAATTAGCAATATCTTTCATTCCCAGCTTGAAAATGATGTTTGTCACAACAACATTCCGATTACTGATGAGAGCAACAAACCCGATGGATACAGCTCACTAAAAAACGTAATGAATTTCTGGAACTTTCTCTATATAAATGGAAAATGAAGGTTAAACTCACAGTAGTTAAGTTGCAGTGAGGATACCATAGCTCCCTTGACATTCTCCAGGTTGCTTCTGCTTCCACGGTGTGCAGCAGATTTTCCTCATTCACTCCTTGAAATTTCTTCATGCTGACAAAACATAATTCTTCATAGTTCATTTCACAACATTCGATTGATTCAACACGGTTTTCATTTCCATTCTTCTTCAGTGCATCTGATGATGAAAGTCAACATCTTGGTTTGCGTTCCAGCTCAATATCAACCGATTTCCATACTGAGTTCTTGTTTTTGTAAACGATCGATGTGAAGACAAAGCATCAACTAGAACACCGTGAAATGAATGAAGATTTCGCAATAGTGACAATTACATTTCTGAAAAAATATTTCTCAAATCATGACCACGACTTCTTCGCATCTCTATTCATTAGGTAACACATTTATAACTACTTTACGGAAAGTTTGATGGAGTGTTTTCTTTTTGTTTCATTCACATTAGTTTTCATTTTTCAAAATACCGTCAAAAATTTATTACAAGACACCGCAATAAAGGCGGTGTTTTGCCACAAAAATGCGGACAACAACGCGCGTTCTTCAATCTGGGACTTCTAGAATAGAATTTTAGAAAAAAAATAGTTTTACGGCAGTCGTAGTCATATTTCAAGTTATCATAGGTACTCACCTTCTATTAAACGTTTTGAGTGAAAATATCAGTGTGCCTTTATCATTTTAATTTCAATCGAGCACTTGGCTGTGAAATCATCACGAAATGCATCACGAATTTTCAAATTGGAAAATAACCACGCAGTCGAAACTCTGGTTACAGATGAGAGCAATGTAGCAGATGCATGGAGCTTACAAGGATGTCGTGGTTGGAGCTCTGAATTTATTTTTTGAATGAAAATAAAAAATGAAAATTGAACTCACAGCAATATAGTTGGAGTAGATAATCTAGCTCTCACGCCCTTCATAAGGAAGCACCATCCATGAAAAGCTCCCAAATGTCGTACAGCGAATGCTGGAATTCGTCCAGCGTCGCCATGTTCGTTTATGGCATATCCTATGTGATTACCTGTCTTAGCTTTTTGGTTTTCTGACCGTAGTGACTTTCTTTTGTACTGTTGACTCATTTTTCGATAGCTGGAAGGGGGCTCTCCGAAACTGAAAATGATGAATTGCAACAGAAACCCCACAAGCGATCTGGAAATTTTGTTTTTATCTTTTTAATCGTTGTAAGCAAAGAATCACCTCAACTTCATGTCGACAACATAGATTTTTTATACGTGGGGTTCAAGATCAAAGACGCATTTGATCGATTCATACGAAACGACAATTATGGACGGCAAATAAACGATTTTGAGCAAAGAATTGCTTGGGTTGATATAACCAGAGTCTCACATCGCTTATCATCGGCTATTCCTTTTCTCGATATCCAATTTCTTTTATCTATCTGCAAATCGTCTACATTTCAAACTTTCATATTTAAACGACTCACATGTACGTCACGTTGGCTACATAATCCTTTTTGTCCGTATCGTTGCCAGAGAGCAGCGAGACCATAGCTGATATGTCGGCAATAACCATGTCTTAGAGCAATAGGAACAGAGCGTAGAAACCTTGTGAGTAAACTTGAAAACATCTAGCGAATTCAACGAAATTTGGGTTCCAATCCCATTTTCCTTGAGCGAATCCATGAACTCCGAAATCTTGAGTGATTTCAAAATTAAATATTTCGTTTTTTGTTCCAGCTCAGCATCAAACCAATTTTTTTATGTCGAATGTTCGTTTTTGTACAAAATTGATGTGAAAAATCATCATTGAGATCTTCGTAAAATTAATGAAGTTTTCGGCATGGTAACAATTCAACCTCTGAAATAAATAATCATTGTTTAACAAATTTTTGATTTAGTTTCAAAAACCTTGATGAGCTTATCTTATATTTTTCTCTTTTATCCTTTTTTCATTTTTCGAAAAAAAAACCGCCCAAAATCAACAACGACACTCCGAAATAACGGCGGTGTCTCGCCACAAAAATGCAGACGCCGGTGAGCGCGCGTTGTTCGAACTGGAGTTCTTGGAGAATGGAGCTAGGAAAAAAATCCTTCCATGAAAACTGTAGTCGGCATATTTTCATTTTCAATAAATACTCACCTTTTACGAAACGTTTTGATCAAAAGCATTGATGTAATTTCAACCGGCCTATTGATGACGCAAAGAAATGTGATGGATGGAATGAGTCCGGGATTAATGAAAGATCCGGATTTAATATTCCAGTTTTGTTTCAGGTGTGCAGGTCCATCTCAATCGCCAATTTTAGAATTTTTGTTTTCCATCCAATGATTCCTTCCGTACAGTCGGCACGTTGCTAAATTGTTTGCTGAACAGTGACTCACAGAAACGAATTGGGTGAAGAAGGACCTCTCCGACCGAATCATGAGCACGGAGCAAGTAGACCATGACTGCTCAGTCGTCGAAAACAACATCATGGAACTGAAGAAGTAGGGCATGGGGTCAGTGCATCTGTTTTCTCAATCTTCCTTCTTCTGACAGAATCTGGGTCATATGCATACTGTCTGTCTCACTTTCTTGATTTTCCGGTAGAAACTATACAAGTAATCTGAAAATTTGCGGTTTTGTCTTAATTGAGTTCATTCTTCAAATTATTATTTGGAGAATATTTTGCTGGAATCTAAACCAAATCAGTTGCAATGAAAATTCGTTGTCGCAGGAGATCACCATTTTTTGTAGCTACATTCTGTTTCAATTTCTGGCTGATGCCTTTTGTCTGTGATTGCATCATCTGACAATTCATATCCGTCCGCAAGGAGGTGGAGAATTCGGTTCCAGCTTAACGCGTTACTGGAATGATGATATGCAAAGAAGTGTAAGAAGGAGATAATCGTCGAGCTAGCCGAAACATCTGTTTTCGAGATTTGCAGCGGGCTTGGCTCATTAAAAATTCCATCACTGAAACAAATAATCATGGATTCCCACATTTTTGGTCTATTCCTAAAAACTTCGAAGAGTTTTTATATATATTTCTCTTTTTATGGTTTTTTTTCAGTATTCAAAAAACCGCCCAAAATCAGCAACGACACTCCGAAATAACGGCTGTGTCTCGCCACGAAAATGCGGACGCCGGTGAGCGCGCGTTGTTCGGACTGGAGTTCGTGGAGGATGGAGCTAGGAAAAAATCCTTCTATGATAGCCGTAGTCGGCATATTTTCATGTCCAATGAATACTCACCTTTTCTAAAACGTTTTGGCCAAAAGCATTGATGGATTTTTAATCGGGATACTGATGACGCAAAGAAATAATGGAATGAATCTCGAATGTTCAGGTTTCCGATACCAGATGTGCTCCAGGTGGGCAGACGATGTATTCTTTGCTGGCATTATTAACACTAGAAGTCCAATGATTCTTGTTGTACAGTCTACACATTCCTGAATTAATTGCTGCAAAGCGGATCACAGAAACGAATCCGATGAAGAAGTCCTTTGTTGACCGGATCATGAGCACGGAGCACAGAAACAACGACATATCTATTGTCAAAACCATATCGTGGAACTGAAGAATTGGTGGGTTTGCTCAATGCATCTGTTTTCTCAAGCTTCTTCTCTTCTGACAGAATCTGGATCATATGCATATGATGTTTCTTCAATGTTGGTGCAAGTCCGACGTGGCTGCCTGTTTTATCGTTTTGGTTTACCGGCAGCAACTTTACAAGTAATCTGAAAATGTCCCGTTTTGCCTTCACTGATTATATTAATTGTAGAATTACCTGGAGATTTGTTTGCTGAAACCACAATTAGATCAGTTTCATTGTGAATTCGTTGTTGCAGGAGATCCACAGTATAGTAGCCGCGTTCAGTTTCAACTTCTTGTTGATGTCGGTTGCCGCTCAAATATGTGATTGCATATTCTGACAGATCCGATAGTTAATTTCCGTCCATAGGCAAGGAGCTCTCGGATTCAGCAACCCACGTCATCGGAATGATATTATTCGATCTCATGAAGAAGTGAGAAATTGGTCGAGTTAAGCGAAACATCAGTTTTATCGGTCTTCGGATTGCCTTTTTTGATGTGCAAGTGAAAAAAACATTGATGTGAGGAGCAGGCGGGCGACACGATGGATCTCATTGCAATTTCTTTTAGCACAATCTAGAGAATCAGCAATTTGGTCCGATGTTTGCACTTCGAATATTGTTGCTACGACCTCCGCCAATTTCACAGCCACTTTTCGAAGAGATGGCCGCAAATCTCAAAATCAATCATCAGCCAGGATTCGTTATGGCGATTTAAATGTTTCGAAGAGGCTGAAAATAGATTTTATTATCTTTGTAACTCAATCAAAGAACTTACGCAAAACTGGAAATAAAATCATCACAGGTTTCTTGTTGCCATTTCATATCCAGCTCCGCGCGTCAATTGGATGATGATAATCGATGTAGTGGAGAAATGAGAAACTTGTCGAGCTGAGCAAAACAGCGGTTTAAAAGGTTTGTCGGATGCTAGAGCTTCTTCTGATGTGTAGATGAACGGAAAATTGATGCTAGAAGCAGGCAGGCGACAGTATGAATCTAATCTGATTCGTTTCCAGCAATTTAATGCGTTTTTTCAGCTTTGAATCTTGTTGTTGCGTGTCACTCGCCAATTTCCCGGCAACCTTATCAAGACTTGGCCACAAATGCCAGAAGCCTTCTACTGTCGGGATTCGTAGCAGAGATAGGTTGATTTGAATCTTTCGAATGGGCTGAAAATAGTTTTCATTGTTTTTGTAACACAATCGAACAACTCACGCAAGGTAAAAAGTTTTGAAGTACTCTCGATTTGCATTGTATAATTCCCATCAAATTTCTTCAAAACTTCAGTCTTCACATCAAAATAAAGAGTATTGGATTAGTCCTAAACTTCAAACTGCTTCGTTGTTTCTACAGCGAGCTTCTCAAATTTCCTGAAACCATTATTCGCGAAGTTGAGAATATGTTGTCCACATATCCGTTAATCTGAAAATAAAACACATAGAACATTATTTGTTTCTGCAAATCATGCAAATCTATATTTCGATTTAATTTTCTTTTCTCAGCTAAATATTTGCGTTGTTAACTTAATTTTTTTTTGCAATTTTATTTTATTTTACTTCCAAAATTTATTCATCAGAACAATTGTCTCATTAACAAAACAGTTACCATTTTTCAAAAATCCAATGTGGTTTTCTGTTTCCGATCTCAAAATGACACCCGCATTTTGTTCAAAATTTTTCGACCCCCCATTTGAAGAAAAAAAAAACTCACACTTGTCTTTGTTTGGCGCGAATAGATAGTTGACCGTATTTGAAACGTGAATTATTGTCTAGTAGAGAGTGCGCGTTAGTGCTGGCAAGGAAGGACCACGGAACAATGCGCACGGGTCGTAAAATTGATCGATATATCACCATCGGTGTCTGTCCCTCTTCAATCTGTGTGCTCTCTCTTCCCCATTCCTCCCCGAGATGGTGACCTCTTCTCATATCGTCGTCTGTATGCCCCTCCAGTATTCCGCTTTTTTGCAAAGCAGGAACAACACGTTCGAATGAAGACGAGGATAGAGGAAAAGGCGGCACTGCCCGATGGCCCGACGAACAAACATCTACTCTCAACTGTGTTTAGTGTGTACTAGTGATAAGGAATGGTAAGAGTCTACATTACAATTCCACACGTACATAAATTTGATAACGAAATGTATGTAAATCGGTTGGTTGTCTTGCACTAAAAACAAATCAAGGATGTCTGCATTTTGAGATAATCTTATAGGATCTTTATGGGAGTCTGTTTAATCTGTTTCAATTACGGAAAAACGGTAGAGTACTTTACCATTAGGTATATGAGCCCACATGTTCTCTGCTTCTCCAGTTAAATAATAGTTTCCGACACTTGCGGCTTCGTCAGTTGTTCAATTTTTTCGTTCGTTTTTTGATGCCTCCTGCAGCTCGTTTCTCAATTCTACTTTTTCATCTGCCTGCGTTTAAGCGCTATTCATTTCATCCTCTACACGATTAAACTTCACAATAAACCTTTTTTCAGCTTTCAGCTTGAAACGAGATGTGCAAAACGATCAACAAAAAGTACAATCTACACAAATGTGTCCGAATTATTTGGCAACGGAACCTCAATTGTTTGCCTCCAAAGCGAAGTGAGTTTTCCTTTCAATCCAAAAAGATTTAGAAAAAATCACTCTATCAAAAATTTCATTAATAACGATTTTTTTGATTTTGAGATTCATTCGGTGTTCACTGGCCGAATTCATGGAAATTGAGCGGTAGGTTGCTTACTATTGGCAGGGCCGACACAATGACCATTGACAGTCGAAACACAAAAAACAAATAAAGACGAGCACTAGATTTACAAAAAAATTGAGTTTATAGGAAAAAAAGGCTTCAAAACTAGAAAAAAACTTGGTTGGCTGGATTACTCGTTTAGCTCACGAAGGACCAGAGTTTTCAATAATGTCTTTTCAAGACATCAAAGTTTTAAAACTTCAATTTGATTTTTTGGATCTGGTCGTAGCTTACATTATCATTATTTGATTCTCGGTACAATAATACGATTTCAGAATTTACTGAAACTTCTATGAATAACTACGTGTGCTGTTCAAGAAACTCAAGTGCGGTTCAAAGTACTGGTAAGCGACTTACGATGCTCCCAAGCAGTTTCTTTGAATTTCAGACACATCAGGAAATCAAGAGAAAGCAACAGCCTCAAACAAAGAGGATTTGGCTCTTGCTGAACAAGGTAAGCTCCGAATCAAACGACTTTCAAAATTGCTTCAAACTTATTCCAGAAGCTTCTCCATCGAATGACAGCCCACGAATGATGACTAGATATAGGAAGCGACTATCGGATACCGCCACTCTAGCTATTGATATCAAACATAACCGTCGAAGCATGTCTAGCAACAGCCAACCTGAAGCCGTCTCCCGACAGCAGTTAGTTACCTCGCTCGGAACTCCGGATTTTTTCACGAATGGTATGTTTGAAATTAATTTCATATTTTGATCCAAATCCCTGATTTTCAGGGCTTCAATACTTTGGAATGACCAAATAAGCCAATCTTAACGCAAGGGATAAAATTACTCTCAAAGAGTATTTGGAACGTAAGTTACACGTTTTTGGAATGTTCAATAATATTTTTTATAGAAACTACACTTCTTTTTCTGAATGCTCCAGAACATAATGCGTCCGTTTATGATTGGGTAGAAGAAAACAAAGAATTCATCGAGGAGAGAGCCAAGAAACTCAAAGAATCTGGACTCTATCCACTGATGAACAAGGAGAGCTCATTATAGGTGTGTGGATTTATCGTTATTCTGTCGGTATGGAGGGAAGATTACACTCTTCTACCTGTACCAACGAAAAATCAACTCTGTCAACATATATGCGGAATCGTGAAAATGAGCGTTACGAGATTTTTTGTTGTTGCAAAAATTGGTTTCTCCGTAATTTTGCTTGTAGAATGATGTTTCTTATATAAGAAGAGAGCGGCAAACAAAAAATTCTTATTAAAAATTTTTTGCTATTCAAAAACTTATTCCAAATTTTCTCGTGAATGATTGCCAACGTGTTCAACCTAAAAATCAACTTGTAACTTGTAAAAACGACACAACTCGAATTTGTTATTTCCGATAGAATTGTAGAAAATAAAATGTATAATTCTCATGTTCTACAAAATACTTTTTTTTTTTGAAAAATGGGGCAGATGAGCAAAGCAGCTGCTCTGAAAAGGTCAGCTCAAACAGCACTGGTGCAGCTTGTATTTTTCGAAAATAATTGAGCATTGACCATTTAATTAGCTTTTTATGAACTGGATTGAAGTTTTTTTTCTGGTTTTTTACGAACACATTTTGATTTTCAGATCAAATCGTTGTCTGCATTTTCCCGATGGATTTTCCATGTAGCATAACATTTTCTTTCCGAGTAGAAATTCCGAATACGAAGTTGGTTTTTGTTTCTTTTTTCGCCGTTTCACATCTTCCTTTATTTCCGTGGAAATACTTAGCAACAACTTCCCGTTTCTAAGTTTCACTTTTTTTTGTTTTTTTTTCTTATTGAAACGTTCAATAAATTTTTTCCTTCTTTGTTTTATGTCAGAAAAAATGGATTTCCTGGAAAAAAGTGTTGTCTGTGTCTCACCGAATTAGTGCTTCAGATCAAATTCCAACGATATTTGTATTCCAATTTCCTCAAAGATCTTTTCTAGAATTTTCCTAAAATTTTTCTAGACAAATCACAGGACAGAATGAAGATCAGTTTTTTAAAAATAAATTTCAAAACTTTCAAATGAATTTCAGTTTTCGGTCGGCTCAATTTTTTCTCATTTGTCAGTCGCTTAATCTGACAACATATGTTAATATGTGTGCCGTTATTAGATTCTTGAGCCAGAAAAGCGCACTAGGCTAATCCATCCCCAAAAAATCGGATCTAATCTTTTAATAGAAGCTTTCTTTTTTTCCATACGAGCCACATTCATCACCTTTCCTTTGCGGCCATTTACTATAGTAAGAATAAGGTTCTGCTCTCGAAAATAAACGTAGTTTGAAATCATCAGTCTCTTCTTCCTTCCTGGGGATGATGTCTGGCCGTACCTCAATATAGAGGAGCAATAACGAGGGGATTTACTCCCTCGACTTTGCCAGTGTATATATTTCTCGTGAATCTATCAGACCTATTCAACATCTTCTTCTTCTTTTCCATTCCATTTCCCTTGACAACCGAGACTTTTCATTTTCTCCGTTTTCCCATTTCCGTTTCGGCCCGCCCAGCTGAGTATGATTTTGTGGGTAGATTTTGGTTTGCTCATTCGTAGTTACCCTTCTCTTTCTTTTTCTTCGTTAACTTTCCAGAAATTTTATATGCGTTGTGTTGTCTTTACTTATTCAGGAAATATCATTAATGTGTGGTGGTGCTGCGATGTCACCTCATTTGACTCATTGAGAAAATTGTCGTTTTTCCGTTTTTCGTTAACGCTGCCACAACCATCATCATCATCATCGTTGCAGGAAAAACGGAGCGGGAAAGATATTTATGTCCTAAGACCCTTAGTCTCCCTCCTCTCCGTTTTTTTCCACCGTTTCAATACCCTTCTTTCCTCGAACCCTGCATCTTCATTAAACACCCCGCCTCCTAGTGGCTCCGCTCTCTTGTTTTGGACACACGGAGCCGGCACCCGGCACGTTCTCATAGTCCCTTTTGCTATCCGTTTCGTGAGAGTGCATGCTTTCTGCTAATTGTTTCGGACGTTCGCAGGCAGTGTTCCAAGCAAAGAGATACAGACATTTGGAACGACGGAGCGTATGGCATGGTCCATCTCCTTTCTTTTTTTCTTCCTAATTTCACTCTCTCAGATTGTGTTCTTGCCGACACTCAAATACAAACAACCCACTAGTCATCTGCTATTTTTTTTTTCATTTTCTCTCTATTTCTGGTTCGCCTTCTTTGTCTTTCCTTCCTCCAAAATTTCGAACCCTACACCTCGTCCTAAACGTTCCAGTCATCAATTTTCAATCAATGGGTGGCGCAGACGGAATGAACGCGGCGCCGACGTCCGCGACCGGTCAAATGGAATGGCGTCGCACACCAATCACTTCTCAAAGTGGAAACGGAACGCTGACCAATCCGGATTGGCTAGCAAAAGAGTCTCGTGGTGAGAATTCAAACCAATTCCAATACAAGGTTAGTTTCCTTTTCCTTACGATGAACTTGAGAACGTCGTTCTCATATCTCAAATTCTCATCTTTTTCGCAGAAGTCAGAATGTCATGTGCTTTTTGAAAAAGGAGAGAAAAAAAAATGGCGGACGTTTTTGAAGTATTTTTGCTTCTAGTCGAAGAACGTTTGATTAATTATGGTGAAGTAACGAATTTCGTAGACCCGCAACTTCTATTCTAGTTGGTTAACAAGTATTTCTTCTTTTTTGCTTCGAAGATGATTCTAGGAATATTGTAGAACCCGAAATTGTATCGCTTAGTGATATTCTTCCTGATCATACTAGGAGTGAGCAAATTCTACAAAAAAGAGAAAATTGAATGATAAGAAGTTCAATACGATTCTGTTTGGATTAGAAATACAAACGAGAATAAAAATTTCTAGCTGTTAATCCTCAAATATGACGAAGGAAATCTTGAAACGTGACATCTCGCTAGATATTTTTCGTTTTGTTTTTACTCTGTTGCTGGAATTATTATTTCTGAAAATACAGTACCGGTCAATATAATGTACAAAAATATGTTTTTCAGTTTATGTTGACCGTCATTCAGATTTTTAGTTGATTTTCGGCCACTTTGATAATTATCTGGAGTCTAAAACTCGGCTGTGACGTTTCCGATTACTTTGAAAATGTTGCATGGTCTAAAACAGACCTAGATTGAAAACTTTGAATTCACATAATTTTTTGAAAGTTTCTGGGTTTCCAGCTAATAGTGAGTTACTAAAAGACACCCATTTTTATCTGTTTTGTTTTGTGAAAATAAGAAAAAAAACCTGTGCCCTTCAGAAAACGGCAGGTAGCTGAAAAAACTTTCGAAAAAAAATCCAGAAATGCAAAATTTTCAATCTAGGATTGTTTTAAACCCACCATATGTTCGGAACGGAATTCGGAATTCCGAACATTCCGACCATTTTCGGAATGAAATTCCGGTCGGAATAATTCCGAGAAAAAATTCGGAATGAAATTCCGGTCGGAATATTTCCGAAAGATTTTTTCGGAACGAAATTCCGACCGGAATTTTTCAGACGCATTTTTCAGAATTAAAACTTTTTCGACTACAGTATGACGGGAAAAATTGACCTGCGGGTCTCAAACAGAATTAATTTTGATATTTGTTTTGCGCTGTCGAAATCTTTCTGTCAATTTTCAAAAGATTTTTGCGGTTTTATGATGGGAAATGAAATTTCCGTTGTAAAATTCGAATTTTGAAAAATTCCGAAACTTCCGAAATTCCGAATTTTTTCAAAATCGAAAAATTCTGAGACTTTTTAAAATCGGAATTTTGAGAAATTCCGAAATTCCGAAAAAGGCCAGTCCGAACATCCCTGCTGTATTACTGTACTACTGCAACTCGACACTTTTCTCTCTTTCAAACCCTCACCGACGCCTGGAACGATGATATGTTAAGAATTTTGCCAACCGACTGGGATCATATGGTTGAATATCCACTGCCTGGTTGCGAGCAATTCGGATTCAAGGAGCTGGTTCCCACTTATTACAAAATGTTCGAACTAATGGTCTCGGAGGAGCTTCCAGGAGCACCAAGCCCAGGATTTCCACGTCGCTCTATCAATTATCCAAGCAGCAAAGATATGTGTAGCCCGGTCTTTGATCATTGTCAAGTGGATCCAGAAATGTTCCGTCCGCTGATGAATTACCCTGTCAAAAAACAAGAATATGTTCCAATGGAACAAGATGTTGCTCATCAAATGAAATATCTTGAATTGGAAAAAAAGACAACTCCAGGACCCGGGCCTAATATATACTTTGGGCAACATGCCAAAACTTTCGTTCCGGCTACCAAGAATTTCAATCCAGCTCAAGGGAACTCTAAAACACCAATTAACGGATATAAGCCCAAGAATCTGGATGCCGAGTTCCCAAACCTCAATGCTCCGGTGAAGAATGAGCACGAGAAAATGAAAGCTACTGTGGAAAAGAAGCCACATTATTTAAAAAAATATGACCAGAACAACATCGATTATCGCAAACCACGTCATTACGGCAGAAGGTAATCTAATTCACAGTTTTTTCTTTTCAAAATTTAAATTTTTTCAGAGATGACTTGATCAACCAGGAATACATCAACAACCAAATCAATAAGCTGGTACAGGAAAAAAGAAAGACTGGAGGAGCAATTGTAGAGGAGGAGAAAAATGATGTTGTTGAAGTTCCAACAAAACCTCATTATTACAAGAAACACCAATATCAGAACAATTATCAACACCATCACCACAACCAACGCCATTTCCATTACCAAAAATCTCACCAAACGTAAGTTCTAGTCTTACTGAGTTTTCTGGATGACCCAGTTTATAGAGCTTCGATCATGATCCGTGTTCCTGTACCACGACCACCAGTTCATCTCCAACATAGTGTTTCTCCAGTTGGAACAAGTGTAGTTGACGAGGATGGAGTCACCAACAACTTCCAGAATTCTCGCGGTTTCCGTCAGTGGACTAGGTGGAGAAACATAGAGGATAGTCACAAAACTTTAATTTTCAGAAACGATCAAAATTGAAGTCTCCAGACTTTTCAGATATCATTCTTTGCCACTCTTCGCATCTCCTTTTTTTTCATTCCCGAATGATGTAACAATTGATAATTCACCCGATTGCTAATAGTTTTGTGATGCTTTTTCATTTTTGTAAGATTTTGTAGTAATAAATCACGTTGCAGACACGTTTCTGATTTTTTTCACGTTTTCAAGAGTTCGTTAAGTTCGCCACAAAATATGAATATATAGACTTTAGTTTAACAAATGCGACATATGATATGAGCTCTCCTTAGTCTAGACTAGTTTTAATGAACAGTTGGTGGAAAAGAGCCAGACATGTTATCAAATTGACCGCTTGTTTTAATGATGTAGTTTATGAGGCGATAAACGTCTTTTTCTCGACAGCGACGGGGCGTATCGGTCAATTTTAGGCCAAAACTATTTTTGTTTTTCAGAATAATGTTAGTTATAGCTTCCAGGCCGACAGTTTGAATAAAAACTTATCAGTATATGTTATTGTTTTGTTGATCATAGAGTTCAGTTTTTCGAAGAATTTTTCAAAAATATCCATCCCCACAATATAAATCGATTCAAATCTCTACTGACAACAATTCATCATTATTAAATCTTTTTTTCCACAATGATTTGTATTTTTCTCTGCAGCGATGGGTCTATCAGTGCGAATTTTCAAGTTTTTAGGTCAAAATTACTTTATTGTTTTGGAAAAATGTCAATCATGAATTCCTGTTTCCGGATACTGACCAAAATATGTCATCACAGTTTGCTTGTCTACTATAGCGTTTAGTTCTTCTGGATTTTCCAGAAATATCCGTTACGAAAAGCTATAAATCTAGTTGAATCAATACTGATTAAGATTCATCACTATAATTTTCTAGTCCACCATAGCGTCTAGTTCCTTAAAGAATTCTCCAAGAATATTCAACCCTAAATATTATAAATCGATTTGTGAGGCGAAAAGTTTATTTTCCTCTGCAGCGACGCGTCTATCGGTGCAAAATTTGAATTTTTTAAGCCCAAAACAATTTTTGTTTTTCGGAAAAATGTTAGTTATGGCTTCCTGGTTGAAAATTTTACCAAAATACAACACTATAATTTTCTGGCCCACCGTAATGTCCATTTTTTAAAAGTAATTTTCAGTAATGGCCAGCCGGATTTACTGTAAATCAAATTTTTCTGTGAAGTGACGGGTCCATCGGTGCTAATTTTAAAATTTCAGGCCAAAACTATTTTTGTTTTTTTCGGAAAAATGTAAATTATTGCTGACTGGCGGAGATTTTTACCTAAAATTCATCACTATAATCTTCTTCTCCGCCATGGCATTTTGTTCCTCTAAGAATTTTCCAGAAATATTCATCCCAACATAATGTAAATTGATTTGAATAATTTCGAAATACAGAGATCAAATTTCAAACTCCCGCCGCTGGCCTAACGACCGTCGCGGCCATGGGCGCCGCGTCCTCGCGGGAGTGAAAGGGGAGTGCGAGTTCCCACCTCCTGTCGGGGTGTGGGAGAAGCGCGCTCAGACTCGGTTTTAGGCCTCACTTTTTTCTATTCATTCAATTTTGTCCGACCGCTAGGATGACTGTTTTACAATTTATGAAGTTGTTGATAACAATTTTTCATTTTTTCCCCTATTTTTATTCAACATTCTACTCAACAACTAACATATAGGCCATTGATAGGACTTTCTGTGTAAATATTTTTGAGAGATGGTTACTGTAGACTTGACCTTCTTCTTATTGAATTAAAAAAAATGAACAGCATTCCTGATTCTATTCATATCCATCCATCAATGTGTATTTCGTTTCGTTTTTTATTCGGTGTTTCCCTGTCTCTTCTTTCTCTAGTTTCGTGTTTCATTTACCTCCGACCACCACTTGAAAGGTTCTTGTTACTTTACACACAGAGAGAATGACACTCGTCCTGTCCTTTTGCCAAAGGAATCAAGTTGTATCTATCGACAAGATAATGCCGCTTGAAAATAGAATCGATGATCTTGAAAGGATTACGGTAGTTGCCACATCGTTCTTATTACAGAAGGCGCATAGTTCGCTTCTCGACGAGAGGAAAAATACAAAGTGATGAATCAGTACGGTAAATTGGAAACTAAACAACAGAGGAAATATGCCAGAGGTAAGAAAAAAGGAGCGCTATCTCAAACGAAAGCTGCCAGCTTTGCCTAAAAAGTAGCAAAACCTGATTGTATCAATTTCAGACCAATTCCGAATTTTCCGAGAATTCTGCAAGTATCAGCGTACTCATGGATTCCCTGCTCCAGTATTTGACAGAAATGGTGAGTGCGATACTGTAGCTATTTTTGTGCTATGTTCTGCTCACTCCGTATATTTTAAGCTACAGTATGGCTTTAAATAACTTGAAACACGCGTTTTTCAGTTTATGTAGCCCATTTTCAATTGTATAGAGCTCAGATTTCAAGCTTCCGATTACTTTGAAGATATTAGTGAATATAAAACAGACCTAGATTCAAAACTTTGAATTCACAGAACGTTTTGAAAATTCCTAGTTTTCAAGTTATTTACCAATTTCCGAAGGACAGTAAAAGTACAAAAATAGCAAAAAGAAAGTGTCCTTTCGAAATCGGTGAGTAGCAGAGAAACTAGAAGTTATAAGAAAATTCTTTAAATGCGAATTGTTCAATGTAGGTCTGTTTCACACTCTCAAAATATTTCAAAGTGATCGGAAACTTGACAGCCGAGCTAAAGATTCCTGGAAATCATAAAAATCAACTGAAAACCCCGCTTCTTCAAATTTTATTTTTTTTAGTAGGTTCCACAATTTTAGTAGGTTCCACAAGTTACATAAATGAATGTTTTCAGTTTTTTCCCCAGTAAAAAATTATTATCACTTCTGAATTTTTTCCAGGTAGCATTGTTAATCAGCCACCCCCACTTGGCTCCTCGCCAAAATCACCTCAATTCCACTCCCGTCCAGGTTATGATTATCAGCGACCAATCAACGGCATGCACTTTCAACAGGCTTGGGGTGAGAAACTGTCATAAACCAATAATCAGGAGCTATCAATCACTTGTTTCATCACAGATAACAACTCCTTTGCACTGAGCTTCACGCTTCCCTGTGATCAATTCTCTCCTGCTCATCAAGCATTCGATCAGTTCCGCAATCATCCGTGTCTTCCAAATCATCTGATTCCAAGAAAAGTGATTTTCATGTACGATCGCCCGACAAATCAGATGCCCCCGAAAACGGTTCAATTGGTTCGCAATCCATACTATCAGCCACCAGCAGTCCAACTACGAGAAATGATGAAGGGAAATTTCAACGTTGTTCGATACAACGCGAAGGCTCAAACGGAATGGAGAGAACATAGCGCTGATAACAGCCATCGTTTGCATAAAGCGGTATTGCTGTCGGGCGAAAAGGCGCCGACGCCAACGCCGAACTGTAAGTTAGACAGAAAGGAGTGGAGTACAAAAAGCAAAATGATAAGCGAGTGTGTGTCGGTTGAAAATGCAATTTTGAATGATGCGATCAAAATTATTACGGTATATTTCAGTGATTCAACCAGAGATGGCAGCACATCAGCGTTCAATTGCCAAAGTCGCAAAATGGCTTGAGGAAATGGACGAATTGACTCAAAAACCGTATGAAGCTATTGAGACCACGTGAGCATCTAGCTGAAATATCTGAAATACCTGGATACTTTACAGACATCCTACTGTTGGCGAATTTCTTGAAGCCAACCCATCCGCTTCGATTTATATCGAAGTTCACGGATCTCAATCGCCTCGTCGCAATTTGAAAAACCTCGCCGTTCCTCTGTCGCCGAATGGTAATAAATTCATTCGCTTCCCATTTTTTCCCTCTGACAAGTGCCTACTGTCACTTCCAAGGTCGTCTATTTTTCAGTGAAACACATTTCTTTGGTATTGGGAACGAAGGTGGAAAGGGCACGCAGTGGTGGTGTCGATGTCGACGGTGATCATCATGACAGCAGCAACAGCAAGAAGAAAATCGAGGAGAAGATGGAAACAAAGACTGAGGAGAGGAAAGAGAACGAAACTGGATTGAAAGGAGACTCAGAGAACAATGCGTGTTTGGTCGGCCAAGAATCATCAGGTGCCGAGAGGTGCTCCGAGAGCAACGGATCCCAGACAAGCGGCTTCAACGATGCTCAGTTTTCTCATGACGACGTGGAGAGTCAGGCGGGTATGTTGCACTTTTGGGAGAGTGGCGTGTTGGGGAGCCAACCGGAGAACTTGGCAATTGGAAAGGAGGAGGTTTGAGGAAGGAAAATAATAAATCTAAAAAGTCACGAGTCTTGCGAGTCGAAGAAAAACAATTTGATTGATAGTGTAGAGGAGCATGAATTGAGAGATAGACTGATTGGTTAAGGGATGAAGGATGTGGTAGATGTTGAGTGTAAAATAAAGTTCACTGAATCATCAAAAATGAACAGGTGTGATATCTGATTTGGTTATTTTGAGAGGAGGAAATTTTCAGATCTCAGGAGTTTTGACAAGCCTTTCAAACCAAGATTTTGATAAATTTCAGGATAACTTGAACTAAGCCTAGCTGGACATCTTGAAAAATTTTAGATTCCGCTCGCCAGTTTCAACCGAATTGTATCAGTTTCAGTACCAAAAATCGCGTTTTCAGTGCAAAACAGCAATTTTAAAAACGATTTTCTCAACTTCAAAGACCTTAAGGACATGAAATTTTAAAACATGAATTTTGTTGGGTTATAATTAGAATTAAATGTAATTTAATATTTCAAACATTTTCTCGAATATATATTTTGCTATTTTTGAATAAATCTGTAAAATCGTGGAAAATATCGAAAACAAAAAAAAATTTCGAGAAAATGTTTGAAATGTAAAAATTCATCTTTTTCTGAGCAGGAACTTTTTATTTTACCTTTTTATTTTGTAGTTTTCGAAAAAATACATTTCAAAAAATATTTTTTGACCCTGTGAATTGGAAAAGCATTTAATTAGCGTTCAGTACGTTTTCATGCTTCCAGATTCTTTTTGTAAAATAATTCAGTTTATTTTTGAAAAAATATGGTTTTCAAAGGAAAATTTTTGTGAGTATGTCCTCAGATTTTGGACATCGATGTTTCACAATCAAGTTTTTACTGAGCTCAATCTTCAATTTTTTTTTGCAGACGATGAATCCGAAGAGACCCAATCCGATGAGGAGGAATCTTCCGAGTGAGCTCTAAGCGCTCTGAACCCCCAAAGACCACTGTGGAGCTGGTCGCAATTGCTCCCACCCCAGTTGAAAATCCTTAAAAATCATTTCATTTTTTATTCTGTTAAATTTCTTGTACCATTTTCTTTTTCTTCTATTGTTTTGTAATGAGAACTATCTTTTCTATTGTACCGTTGTGTTTTGAATGTTTGGTGGCCTGCGTTTTCTGTTGTATTGAGCTTCAATTTTTAAAACGTAGTTTTAATTTTTTAAATTTTTTCTGGTTTTGTTTTATTAAATGTTATTCTTCTCCACATTCTAAAAATATAGACTTTTTCAGTATTTTTCTTTATCTAAGCTCGCCTTAATCTTTTTGTATTCCTTATTTTTCACTTAATCCAAATAAATTCAGAACTTGTTATAGAACGATGAGTGTCTCAGGTTTCAAAAACCTGAGACTAATTATTTTTCTGAATCTGAAAACTTATTGCTTCCCTAGCAGACCCTACCCTAGCAGTTTTTTTCAATGCATATCAAGTCTCCATATGAGTTATACATATCTTTTTAGTTTCACTTCCTCTAACCATCAGTAACCTTGAACACTCGAACATGCGCCAATAGGTTAGAAATGTGATAGTGTCCCATAAAAAAAGGAGATAGAAGAAATAGTTTAATTGGAAGTACTTAGACCAAAACATTGATAACAGTCTTCTCTACTGGTCGAAGTATTCTTTTTTGTCTTTTTTTTTTAAAATTTCTTCGATTTTCAATTGACCGAAAACAGTTGGGTGTGAGTGCATCTCTGTTCTAAGACTTCCAAAATCCGTTTTCTTTATCACTTTATCACACTTTATCTCGTTTAGGATCAATTTCGCGGTGATATCCATCTTTCTTTCTCTGTTCATACACAATAAGGGGATTATTCATTCTCAGGAAGAGACATTCGCTTGTTCTTTCTTGTATCATAAAAGAAAATTAATCCTTATCTCATCTTCAGCCTTCAATTATTGTCAGTTTTTTTTTTCATTCAACAGCACTTTTTTCCGAAAAATGCTTCCTGATTTTTTGCCGTGTGAAACAAAAGAGTATACCAATTTGATCTGAAAATATATTTTTCAATTCTACAGATATCTCGATGACGTTGACAAAAGAAGCCCTGAAATCATTTGAGACGTTACGACCGCGTACGGATAGGAGTAAATCTCGAGAAAGTTCCAAACCTCGTAGTACAGATAGTTCTGGTAAATCGAAAATGGGAAAATTGAATACGAGTATTTAACATTTCAGATGGTGAAGAGAGCAATCAGATTTTTGATGCTGTAGCGCCTCCAGAGGTTTTTCATCATCCATCTCCAGTCCGAGGTAATTCAAAAAGTAATTTTCGTGCATAGGAGAAGTTTTTAAAAGATTTTCCTGATGAGATTGAGGATGAAGAACCATTCAAAGCTCATGCCTTTGAACTCAATGTGCAGTTACAAGTGGCCTCAACGTTTGGGATGGTCTCTTCCCTATCTTTCAATAATGAAATTGAAAACGCTCATAATATAACTAGGAGTAAGTATTACTGTGGTCTCATGCTATATCTAAAAACTTTAACTTCAGGTATTTTCTCGTTTTCTGATAGTCAATCTAATAGCCTTCACGTGTGCCCCAAAATTCGAAGATCCTCTTCTCCGTGTGTCAGTTTCTCTTCTAGCCAGTTCTCGAGTCAAAATTCCGTGCCAGTTTCATATATATGTGAAGAAAACGTTAATAAGAAAGTTTCAATGTCTCCGATTCCTCGCTTGAAAAACGAAAAGCTCAGGGTGATTTCTATGCTAAATTTTTCAATTCCTTTGTTTTATTTTCAGAAACGATCGTGGGATAGACGTTCTTCAGAAAAATAAGAACAATAATACACCATATGTGCATTAAGGATTACGACGCTGATTTCTCTTGTAAGCACAAATCGGCTAATTAATCCTTTTCCTAAATCTTTCCTTTTCTCAGTATGGTGCCTATTTTTGACACAATCACGTATGAATAAACATTATTTGAAATAAACTAATAGAGACTAATTCACAAAAGTTAGATCATAAAACCTGCATTAGAGTGCTTCTGAAAGGTGGTTTTCCGAGGTATTCACAGCATACTAATTTTAATAAAGATTTTGTTGAAGAGAACCTAAAAATATATAAGATTGGTCGTTTCAAAAAGTATTGCTGTCACAGAGGCTGGAAAATTAAATGTGCCTTCAATTCTTTGAAATCTCTTTTGTAGGATTCTTTTATTGTCAGAGTATTTCAATTAAAACAGCTCTAAGTAAAATATTGAGTAGTTCAAAGTTCGAGTTTTTTAAAATAGAAGCTGTGAGATCCTAACTGAAATAAATCTGTAAAAAAACGAGCAATTTGATCAATCTCAACAGACGACGACTTTGTTCTCATTTTTCACCATACCGTATTTCCTTTCCCACCTGTAATAGAAGCCCTCTCCGCAAGGTGTTTCGAAAAATAGGAGCCCACCCTCCAATAGAAGCCCATGGGCTTCTATTAGAGAAAATACGGTGATTCGAAATTCCAGAATTTTAGAAACTGTGATTTTAGAACTCGAAAATTTCTCAACTTTTGTATTTTCGAAATTTAAGATTATTAGATTTATAGAATTTTTGCAAGATTTGAGAATTCCTGTATTTCGCATTTTGAGATACTGGAACCTCAAAATTTCATAAAATCGCAATTTGGGAAGTTAGAATTGCAGGATGAAAATTTCGAACATTCCAAAACACTGAATTTCAGAATTCTTAACTTCCGAATAGTCAAGTTTCTGATTTTTTGAATAAAAATTTTTTGAAAATGAATCATTGCAAAATAGAGGCCCACCATCTAATAGAGAGCGACTTTTAATAGAAGCCCATGAGCTTCTATTAGAAAAAAAAGATGTATTCTTCTCTGTTTAAAAAAAAACATGAAAAATTGACAAGCTTGTTTTATTTTTGCCTCAATCTCAAACAGAATAAATCGATTCGAAAAGATAAAAGGACATGGAACGTAATTAAATGAGGAAATCGACAAAGAAGACAAACAATTCATAGGTTTTGGCAACGGGTGTTTGGGATCTCTGGCTAAGTGAGAAGAAATGTGTACTAGCAATATGTGGAGCAGTTATGAGACTAAACAGGAGAAAAGATGGAGAACAAGTTGAGATGCTAATGGTGCGAAAATCACTACGAAAGAAAAGAACACTGGATTTGGGAAATAGACAAAGATATCAAAACTAATTGCCAGAAGATAAGAGTAACTAATTTAGCAAGACTGTCGTCGGTAATTGCTTTCTTTTTTGACTATTTTTTGTAACAACGATTTTTGTGTTTTCAAATTTTCACGAAGTCCCCCCAGTGCATTTGTCATAGCTTTTCGTTTTCGAGCTAACTCCTGCTCCATTGCTCGAAGTTTCTCTTTTTTGGTTTGCGGCGGAGCGGAGAGCACAGAATCTGAAAGTTTTCGAAATGAACACACTCTGCACACATTGATAACTTACTTTCTTGGCCAGGAATTCTCTCCTGTTTTGGAGGAGAGCATCTCAGTGATTCGTGGTTTTGAGAAGGAGATCCAACTCTTTTTTTCGCTGTGTTTTCGTTGTTTTTCTGGGGGAAACTCGGACATGTGATCATGGTCTGAAAACAGAGTTTTGAACCACAGTCTATACTTAATCTACTCACGATTGGTGGACTGTTGGTGGACGGTCTTCTTCCCGACTTTTCCTTCAATTTTTCGATCAGGATATGCAATTGGGTTTCCCATTGGTGGCACACAATGGGATTTTCATTCAAATAGCGAAGCCCTCTTCCAAGAAAGCAATGCTGGCATCGAAGATCGGTAGTGAAGAATTTCTCAGTATCCTTTTCGCGGCATTTGTAACGCTTGCCGTTAGGCATAGCCTTAAAAAGAATTTCCTGAAAATGGGATAGCTTGATATTTTTGAGTTCAGCTGGCCAACTCACATTCTTTAAGGCCACAATTTTCAAGACGGTTTCCTCTTGCTGGCCAAAAATGGACTCCATCAAAACACAGTGGGCTTGCTTCGGGTTGCCATTTTGGTCTTCTGTAAAAAAATATATAATTGAGGTGTGTTACCGACATGAAATACTTAACAAGAACGTGCCTATGTAAATAGTGTTTAGGATTCTCGAATCACGAAAAAATACTAACCTTCAAATCTTTCAATTAGTTCCTTGATGTCCTTATCGCTTTGGACCTCGACACCGGAAAAATTCCGGAATTTAGGTTTCTCTTTTTTTTGGACCATTTGGTCTGGTTGATGGCAAGATGAAACAGAAGACGACAACGGTGGGGTTGAGTTGTCACAAAACTATTATGTATTAATTACTATTTTTAATCAGGATAAAATCTCACCATCATTTTTGGAGGTGTCAGCTGCGTGGGCAGGAAGTGGAGATATTCAATCTTAATTAGGAAGTGTTAGGAAACTTGAGACAAGTGGTTACAGATTTCAAGAAGAAATGTATGTATACATACGATAATAGAATGAAATCATGAAGAAAAAATGATTAATGAGCAGATATGTTTCAGAAATATTCTTAAGAAACTGGGCAGAGCATCCAGGTACCGTATACCAATCACAAGAACTGGCTTGAACTTACAGAGTCAAAGCATACTCTTCGATGAATTATAGTGTTTTTGAAACTTGCGTTCGTTCTATAGATGACAGTCATTATCGAAATGATTGAATTCTACATTTCAAAATCATAGATGTCCTTCGTTCTAATTCCCCGCTTATTCTAAGAATCTGAAAAAAGTGTCAGACTAATCTTACGAACACTCATTCGCGAAACTTTTACATGTAATCATATTTCTAATTCAACTTAAATGTCAACTGAAACAATTTTGTTCGATTCTAAGAATATATATAGAAACACATTTGAATTTTTGAACTCACGAACAAAAAGGATTTGAGCGGATTGTAATTCTTCTGTGCTGGATCTTAGGACTCAATTGTATGATCGGGAGTGTGTGTCCAACTAGTAAATAAAGATGTAGCAAAAATATCTTCATTTGTTTATTTATTCATTCCAACAAGGGTTTTATACCTCTGACACATGAAATAAATGAGTAAGGAATAGTATAAACAATTCAAATTCTGGGGAATTAACACAACGAAAATTTCTCTTGTCTACCTACTATTCATCCTGAACAAGTTTCACTCTTTATTTTGTGTCCATAAATCTCGTTTCCTGTAAAAGATGTCGAAAAGTGGTCATCTGACAAAATTTTTACTATGATATCACAAATATTGGGCTAGCACAAATTTTTTATATCTCTCAAAAAAACAGAGATAAGTTGACTGGAAGGTGAGAGTTGAGGAGTTATGGATGTTTGGAATGACCCTTTTGGAATTTTTCTAAATGTCTAATACGGCGAGTTTTCAAAATTTTCAAAATTTCGGAATCTCTGAACAGCATATTACCTCTAATATATGCCCATCCAAATCTTTAACATCGAGCTCAATTATCTCGTTCCTTGTGAATGAGATAGAAAAGTTAGAAATATACATCAGAAAATGTCCGGAATTTTTGGAAACTTTCACAAAAAATAATAACAAGCGGATTGAAATATTAGAAAGATTTCTCAAACTTATTTCAGAATTGTGAAAGTTTGAAAACTAGAATCCTACCTTATCAAACAATTTGAGGAGTTGCCACATAATCTAGATAAAAAATTGAATGAAGTTTAAAGTTTTTTCAGGCTATCAAGAGAAAAAAATAACTTTATAAGTCAAAAAACTAGAGTATGGAAAACATGGATCAGCTCAAATTACAATTGAAAAGGAGAGAGATTATTCTTGGTACGAAAGGTTTCCTGAGTTTACCTAATCCTTCTTCTCATAGACCCATAACCTGTGACATGTAATTGGTGGGTGAAAGGGAAAAAACTGAATTCCAGTCTATAATTTGGAGAATAGCAACTTCTACGTAGAAAATCTTAAACACAACTACATACTTTTTCTCTTATTTCTTATAGAAACAAAACAAGAAAACTTAAGGAGAGCTCGACGGAAATGAAACACGACACAGAAGAAAAAAACCAAGGAACAAGTTTCCATCCATAAAAAAATTCATATCTACCCTAACTAGGAGCATTTTTGTGTAAATGACAGGCTGAGAAGTGCCTTGCTCTTCTGAGAATGTGTGCGGAGAATAAAGTAAGTTTGAGGGAATAAACAACGATAAAATTATACTGAAAATTGAAACACTTTGAAATTTGGAAAAGAAAATGACTCAATAAAAAGTTACTTTCTCAATTCGGATGTTGAAAACAAAAGAGGATTCAAATTCTGAAATTTAGCAAAAGTAGAAAAATGAAACAACAAATTGAACAGGTGAAACAGTTTAGAATACTTTTAAAACAAATTGTTTACGTTTGTAGCGGTTCGTTCTCCTAGTCCGCAAAGAAAGGTGAGAGGAAATAGAAGGAAGATAAATGGATGAGCTGTTTGGTTTTCAGGATAAACATCCGGAAATGCGAGGATTGAAAATTAGGGAGAAACTGAAACATCACTTTTTCCAGAAGAAATTATTGCAAAGATAATTCTGCGTTTCCGGTCTAATATTAGTTTGAGAGAGGGTGGAAAACAATAATCAAAGTTGTGAATTTTTTTTGTTTCCGAATTTTTTTCATTTTTCAATTTCCCGATTCTGAATTTTTGGATGATAAATGTCTACCAAAATAGTATCTCATCATTTTTTTCCAGGCATAATGTGTGGGCTACGAGTCGAAAGTAATGGAATGGGCAAATTGACTAAAGTATAGTTTTAAGCCCTCATGAGATAACTAATCATGGTTGTTTTCTTTTGCTACAACTCAAAACATGGAAAACTTTTGAATGGAAAATTTCAAAACTTTAGAAAATCCTCATAGTTGACCATTAAGACTAACTTATGTTTGCAAGAGGACGCGCATTAGCGAGTTTTCTTGGAAATCAGTCATGTTAATGAAAATTTAAACACGGAGTGCTCCTATTCACTCAAGTGTAAATCTCACCTGCTCATTAATTTGTTTATTTTTTAGACTAGAATTGGAAACACAAATACACTCCCAAAAATTCAAGGAAAAAACTACTCCATAGGAAGAGCGAAGAAATGAGAATTTGGTTGCGTCGAGGATTCTAGAATAAGGTGGAGAGAGCTTCTAGCCACGCCCACAAGTCATCTTAAGGGTAATAAACTGCTCTTTGGAGCGAGGGGCGGGGTCGTTAGGTGGTTTGATGGGAGAGGACTATACAAAATGGAAAAAGTGAAGTCTTTTAAAATAATAGATTTTGTAGAAAATAGCTTGAAAGGAGTTGGAAAAACCGCCTACACATATTAAAAAGAAAAAGAATCTAATTATGATGAGGCGGAAAATATACTTAAACGGAAGTCTCGAAGTACGAGGGGCAGGAAAATGAGTTGTTTGTGTTGGAATTGTTAGAAACACTCTGGAGTCTCAAAAACTGTAGATTTTTGAAATCAAATTTCATATTCTATTTTGCTAATTTAATGGAGGGGAGATATGAAAAAATAATTTTCTCGAATTACCGTTTATTCCTGCTCTTTAAGGAGTTGAACTTGAGAGGGGCAAGTATTGAAGGTGCGACTCTGCTACCGACTGAGCCATAGCTAAAGCCGGCGTCCGCTGGTATACTAAAGGCGGGCACGATGGCTCCACGCAAAGTGACGCTAAGCGTTGTACACCGTTTACCACAAAATGCATATCATTATTCCAAAGAATCTCCGAAAAGTCTCCTGTCCCCCCTCCTTCCAAATTTTTTCCAGAAAATCCAGCACCGCAAACAACATGAAGTTTTATAATCAAAATAATCGGCAAAAAACTATGTAGAACACACACACAACACAATAATTGCATCAACGGGACACCTCGACTAATAAGTTAACGTTGGAAACCTCAACACTGACATTAAGAAAAACAGTTTAATAGGGAAATTAAAAATTGGGATTGGACAAGTGCGGGAAAGGGGGATTATAGTAGTCTAACCGACGATTTTCTAATTAGCGCACGTGTACCAAACAACAAAACAGAAAGAAAGGTGTGGGACCATCCAAAACGAGACAGTCTGGTTGAGCTTGAGTCAGGCGGATATTATATAAGTAGGGTTTTCGAAGAGGGTAGAAGTTATATATATACTTTTCTCGTTTTCCACAGCTTTGTACGAATGACATTTCATTTAAAGAAGAGATTCAACCTTTTGTTGAATAAAGCCGTGAGAAATGATATTTCCAGAATCCAAAACTTTCCGACAACTTACTTTTGGAAATCAGTTCGCAGGAAACGGTGTTGGTAGAATAAATTTCAAAACTAATCAAGACGAGTTTCTAGGCCTGAGTTATATATGGACCTTTAGATATGATCTTTCTTCAAATTTCAGGTGAATTGCATGCTCCGCCCACATTCCGTTGCTAGTTTTTTCTCTTTTTTTCAAACCAGCCATATACTTTCTCAGACTAGTGTGAAGAAAAACCAAAAAAATGACTCGCTTTTCTTCAAGTACATAGATTTCGATCTTGACACTTACAGTTCCATGAAAAAAGACGCGCTTATCATTCGTGACAAAGTTTTGTTCAGAAACTCGTGATGCGACAATAAAAATGAAATAAAAATGAAGAAGAAAAAAGGAAATTTGATTTTCATAAAAGGATAAATATAGAGTAAGAGGTGCTTAAATGTGATATTTGGAAACAAGAAAGGCTCTCAATTTTCATAAAATATGACACCCTATTTTGTTGATGACGTTTCCGAGTACTAACCAGACTCTACTTATTTGCGAATTAGTGTTTTACACATTCCCGCCGATTCTTGGATGAAGAAAAATCTGCTTCGAGGGGACATGCTTTTTTTTACTTCATTCACTCGCGCTTTGAGCTCGAATATCTCAATTGCTGTGAGAGATATCAAATATTTCTCAACTGAAAAAATATTGATGATACTGTGATAAACAATTTATCAGTTGACAGATTTTTTCAATTTTTTCAAAAAATCGAGATAATTGAGCTCAAAGTTGACAGTTTGCGTGGGCTTTTCTCAGAGGAGTTACCGTAGCCAAAGTCTGATTTGCGTTTCCGGTTTTTGTGTCACTGTACCGTCTTCTGATCTCAAATTCTAATCAAACATGTCATCATCTTTTCCGTAAGAACTATTTGAGTACGGTTGCAGTACATTTTGAGCGATAAGATCTCTATTTTTGAGACAAACTAAGCGTAACTGTCCGCAACTAGTTTGTTTTTTTCTTTTCTTGGATTATGTCCAATTTAAAGTTTTTTTTAGCATGAGACAACGATATGTTTCTGTAGATACCGAGAAAGAACAATGAGAGGCGACGGGATTAATATGTACCGAGCCGGATTTATGAACTATTTTTGGAAATTCACAAATGATGACAACGTAGTATTCTTCAAAACGATGTTTCATATCTCTGTATGAATTTTTGCAATGTTCTATCTCGCGCGCGAACGGAATCAGCTTCATAATGTCGCGCCCAGAAAATCAGAGAAAAATAACTTATTTTCAGATAGAAAAATCGGCTGACACTTAAACATGTCACCCTTATCATACCTATGAGGGCGTGAGAATCCCCGGATAATCAACATCATGAGAGTTTACTCATTTCAGTGCCCCCAATTCATGACTTCCTTAACAAAAGATTTGTTTTTTGTCTTCCTGGCAGCTCGAGGGAGTGAGAAAATTCAAAGAACCACTAGAAAAAGTCAAAAACTAAAGAGTAATTTTACTCACATAAAGACTAGAAGTCAAGTAATTCATTATCTTTGATTTGTAGTCCTACTACAAAGTTAACAGGAAGGGGCACTTCATGGATAGATTTCGAGATGTTTTTCTTATGGGATTTGTTGTTGTTTACCAGAAGGGACCAATACAAAAAATTTTTGGGAGTTTGTTCCTTACCAGTAAAACAAAATTCTAGCCGAAAATAGTTAGTTAGCATATGACCAGAACGTTTTATCAGAAAAAAAACTTATTTTGAGAGAGTGGCTTTAAAAAAGTTTTATTAGCTGAGGAGGCAACAGTAAGAAAAAAAACTTTATGAGGCAGTACTGAATTCAAAAGCCAATGATTCGACACTAAACCAGATTGAATTTCGGAGAATAAAATGAAGAGAATCGGAAGGAAAATAGAATATCTTGTTTCCAAGGTTTCATGTCGTTTGAGGGGCCACAAAGTGTCAGAATATGTTTGACATCTATGCTCCGAAAAAAAAACTAATGTTGCGAGCAACTAGGACACAAACGTCGATGAGCGAAAAAAAATTGGCGGAATTTGGACATCGTATTTAATGTAATAAGATGCTAAAAAGATCGTTCAGTCCATGCAAAATAGAAGAAGAGAGATTCCTCAATGACCTCTCAAAATTATTCCAGTCATTCAAAAGTACATTAAATGACCACCAACCAATTTGAGAACGGAAATACTAGGAAGAGCAATGTAAATGTCCAGAGAGTATTGAGAAAAAAATGCAAAAAACGCCAAAAAGAATGTGTGGCTTGCGAACAGGTGCTCCCAAACTGACCATCATGTTCAATTTTTGTGCAATCTGTAAATAAATGTATTTATCAAGTTTGATAAGAAAACCGATAAAACCGATAAGAAAAGGATAATATATTAATAGTGAAAAATGAATTGCATACTGCACGCTCTCCCACAGAACAATTCCGAACTGCAAATTAATTTTTGATCTACAGAAAAAAAGTTTGGCGCGATCACAATTGCAGGTCGAAAGCCATAATTTCAGAATTTTTTATCTGATTTTGTGGAGTCCCAAGATGATTCAAATAATTCTTAAAAAATTAATTAGTGGTTATAGATTCATTTATGGTCCTTTTCCGGAAGAAAAAATGTCAAAAATGGTCATTTCTGAAAGTTTTTTACAGAAAAAATCTATCTCCTCGTTCAGTTTTTGACATTTCTAGGAGTTTTATAGCTCAAAAAAACCGCAATTATTTTCTCGGCGGGGGCTATGGACGAATTTTTAATTCGTCTGATAATACTTTTTTTATAATCAAAAAACAACGCAAAAATGCGATTTTGTGCGATTTCATGGAATTTTTGAATTATAAAAAAAGTATTATCAGACGAATTAAAAATTCGTCCATAGAACATGTAGAGAAAATAATTGCAGTTTTTTTTGCTATAGAACTCCTAGAAATGTCAAAAACTGAACGAGGAGATAGATTTTTTCTGTAAAAAACTTTCAAACATGACCATTTTTTACATTTTTTCTTCCGGAAAGGGACCATAAATGAATCTATACCCACTATTTAATTTTTTAAGAATCATTTGAATCATCTTGGGACTCCACAAAATCAGATAAAAAATTCTGAAATTATGGTTTTAGACCTGCAATTGTGATCGCGCCAAACTTTTTTCTGTAGATCAAAAATTAATTTTCAGTTCGGAATTGTTCTGTGGGAGACCGTGTACTGTGAATTATCTTATAGAACGCCGCTAAACCCTCACTTGGAGTTCATTCATCTCTATTTCTGTTAGAGCCATCGAAACATCACAAACTATAAAAGTATAGCTGATATCAGAAAGGTTATTTTATCAGCTGACTGAATTTTCGTATATCATATCGAAACCGAGATAATTCAGCTCAAAGTGAAAAGATTGGTAGGCGTTCTATAGAATCAAAAATAAAATTAAACATAAAGTGAGAAAAGAATCTGGAAAAATTTGGGAAAGTTTAGAGATGAGATAAAAGCCAATTTGATGGTTGTGAGATATAATTAAGTAACCGGCTCAGAAAACTTGTTAAAGATCAAAATCATTTTTCTATGATTTTCGTCTGATAAAATTGAAACACGTGAATGACAATGGAAATGAAAGCTGCGCTAGAATTCAGTTCAAATGTTAATCATTGTTATTTTAGATAAGAAGATTATTGGTTGGGTTGGAACGATTTTGGAACGACTTAGAGATAGCTTTTTGTGCCCAAACGGTGACATCTTTTTTTGCATCTTTACGAATTTTCTTCATCAGTGAATTTTTCGACTTTTTTGGATTGCTTCTCTTGAACTTGGTTCGTTCGGTTCTGAGTCTTCCCCAAACCCAATCCACGCCTTCCTCATCAGTAGCAGTCCATTTGTCTTGAAGAGAAGCAATTGCCTCACCTGTAATTGATTCTTTCAGAAACGTTCATAATGTTTTTTAGATTCTCTTACCTCTAGCAAGAAGCTCTCTGTCAACTCGAACTCCGTTCAATATTGCACACTTCAACTTGAATGCAAACTGTCCTGGCCTGTCTCTTTCTATTTCGATTTCATCTGACATGCTGATGTTTCTCTGGAATTTCAATATCGGTTTGTGACGTTTCTCATTCAAAATTACCATGTAGTTCTGCCAATATTCAATGTGACATGGACGAAATCGTAGAAATAGATTAATCATGAGATTTTTCAGCATTTTTTCCCATCGAGCGAACTTTCGGTTACTGATTTCACTGATATATCTAGAAGCCACGTGAAAAAAGCATGTTCCTTCCATCGGATTTTCTTCTCTATGGATCACAAATGTTGGCAAAATATACCTCTGAGTGAACGTAGAACATCGGATCGGTCAACTTCACATTTAAATTCTGCCTTTTCTTAAACAAAATAATAATTGTATTACGATTTTATAAATAACAAACTTCTTCGAGCACAAAGATTTTCAATGTTTCGGCTAACTCGCTCTCCCCATTAAATATCCTTTTGTAGACTTTGTTTAGAGTGCTTTTCAACAACGAAGGATCTGAAAAAAAAACTAATCAGACTCCAGAATATACGTTCTATGCCTTACTCTTTATTATTTCCATCCATTTGCTTACGTCGACGTCTTGAGCTTCTCCTTTCCTTGGAATGAAGACCTCTTCTTCTACAGGTTTCATAACTCGCTTCTGTACGATCTCTTTCTTCAATCCACTTTTTGGTATATAGGTTATCTATAAAAACTTCACATCAGAAATGATTAGCTTTGTTGAGAATCCTACAATTTGTTTTCTATTCATTATATCTCGGCTGCTTCCTGTCATGTTGTGGATCTTTTGGTTGTGTTACAAGTACAAATGAATCTATAAATTTTGAATGATTGGTGCTGTCAAGAAGGGAGTTCTTAAATAACCGTTTTAACAAAAAATTTTGGCACGAAAATTCAAGAAATCATTAATCTAATCTAAAATTATATTTCTGTAGTTGACAATTTTTTTTTCACAACAATTATCAAAAAAAATTACGTTTCAAAATTATTGAATATTCTATTCAGACACGCAAAGTAAAAATGTGAGCTAAGCAGTTCAAAAAGAGGAAATCAAAAGCTAGGTTCTAGAATGAAGAATTGTTCGTTTGCCTGAAAGGAAAATCTGATTTATGACTCTCTGTGACTGCTGAAAAATGTTGAAGGGCTCTTTTCATATTGATTTTTATCTTGAAATATTTTTGGGCTAAAATATTTAAAAATTACTACATTTTGAAACTCGAAAGGTTCAGAAGGTTTGTCAAGCACCACGACATACGGATGCTACTAATTTTTCAAAGCTGAGAAATATAGCGAGTCTAAAAATAAAGCGCAAAAAAAGCATTGAACCCCCTTCATTTATAATACAACCTAGCGCGTTGAGTGACAGTCAGAAAAACGAAGATTTATGTGAGCACAACCATATTTTCCACATTTTTTCGAATCCTAATTCACCAAGTTTTGTTTTTTTTCTATACAACAGTCATCAGATTAATGTTTAGAAAGTCCCTTGAAGCGACTAATTTGTTTATCACGTCTTGTACAGATGCCGACCTCAAAAAGTATTTAGGATAATCAAAAGAAAATTTTAATAAATCAGAATAAAAGATTGAACAGGGTCTACTAGCAATATTTCAGTTTTTGTTCTCGTGGATTGTTGGGAACCTCGCAGGGGCAGTTTGAATAACCCCAGAAAGATACTCATGACAATTTGGCTGACTCACATGGGTACGGCGGCAAAATCAGGCACATGAATTTAAATTTCGATTTCACGTTTTCTTCAGTGTTCAAACCTGAAGAAATTTGAATTGAGACCGCGACGCGTCTGGAGAAAACGTGAAATCTAAATTAAAAATTAATGTGTCTGATTTTACCGCCGTGCATGAGCTATTGACCTAAAATAGTCTTTTTTTTAATACTTTTGGGCGGATATCAACTGAACCAATTCCGAAACCGAAACAAAAGAAAATGAGCTGCCCAAATGAAATTTTTAAAGCGATTTAAGACACAATAAAATCCTCCTAGCTTTCCGATTATGATCAATTTTAAAAATGCGTGGGAAAATAGAATGGGATTCCGGAAAACGTCATAATGAAAATGCGTCGCCGTCCCCCTCTCAAGAGAACAGAAGAAGTTTATGAGGTGCTCAAGGCTACCGTATACATTTTATGGCGTAGACGACTTCATTTGTCAAATGACTTTTTCATTTTTCAAGTGATGGACCTAATGCTGAACTTTGAGTAGCTACCCAAAAAAGGGATTTTCAAAGAAAATATTAAGGATGAAACCCCAAAATGAACTAAAGATGTTTCAAAATACTCGCGTATGTTGCAATTTTCCAAAAATACGTATGCTGAAATTGATTAGAAATTCAAGTTTTCGGTTAACTTGGAACATTAGGAAACATTTTTCAGCAATTAGAAAAAAGCCGGTTACATGTTTTTTTAAAATGAACATCAAAAGATAATTTTCAGTTTTGTGAAAGTCATGAATCGACCTATATTCAGCTATGCGTCCCATACTTTATACCGAAACAGACCAAAAAGAAAAACACAGTTTCATGTCTCAAGATTTGATTGTTTCTGAGCAGACACATTCAAATCCAGTCTGACAAAAAAATGGAAGTGTAGGATTGAATTCTCGGAAATCCAACCCCTCTTTGTCGGAGCACGAAAAACCATTTAGTGCGTATTAGTATGAAAAAAGCACATGAAAATAATTGGAAGCGTTGATTGGATGGAAATGTCTCGAGTATAATAAAAAGTTTAATCTTTATTTCAATTGAATTAGATAATTAATTAAAAATTGTAATTAGGCGGCTAATTTCAGGAAAAAAAAATGTTTGATGGGAGTTGAGCACGGAACGAGAAAGAAAAATTCTTGTAAAAACTAACAGACTGAGCATTAACCAAACGGCCCTTATCATAGAGGCCTCAAGAAAAATTGCAGATCTAGAAATATCAGCGATTTCTCTGTTAAAAATACAATTTTTTGCAGAAAAGTTTTTAAGGTAAGATTTTCATTTTTTTAGTAACTTTGCTGACTAAGATTTATCAAAATAATTATTTCGAATTAAACATTTTTAGAATTCGCACATCCCATTAGACGAGCGCTAGAATTCATATTTCCTGAAAAAATGAGGAGCCTGAAATTGTGAGTAAAGATTATACTTTAGTTTTACAGTCTTTCCAAACTTTTCCGCGAATTCAGTGAACACGGAAATTTCCGGACGAGAATGGTTGCGGATTTCTGGAAAGCAGAGAGAACTGAAAATTAAAAATGCGGTTTGTCACAAACGCAACAGAACATTCTTCTCCGTTCGAGGTTTTACTAAAACATTTTGTAGCTTTGTAACTAATGCTAGAAAACAAAGTGAAGCAAATTTATTTGAACGGTTCGTCTGGCCAAAAATCCTAGATGAAAAAAGTTTTAGTGATTTTGCGATTCCGCTGGGAACAGCGAAATTTAAAGATTCTGAAGTTTTGATAATATTTTCTAGGTGTCCCTATGGTGCTTGTCTCCAGATCTTGAACGTATTTTTTCGTCTGTGAAATTTTCTATGTTTTCTTTATCTTAACTCGATTTCTCAAAAGAGCTTCCAAACGGACACTCTCTAAGTTTTATTTGCTCTCAGAATTTATCTCGGAGCAAAAAAAGATATGAGATAAGGGAGGAAAATGGATCTCTTGGAACTTGTTGATCAGTTGTTTAGAATATCCCGGAGGTAGTTTTTTGAGTGTTCGTTTGTTAGGGGGAACATATTGAAAAAGCACTTAGTTGACCAAAAGCCTCCCTCCCCTAAACTTTAAGACAATCTATCTCGGCTCCTGTAAAAGATATAAAAAAGAGTTATCTTTATCTTAACTAGATTCCTCAAACAGAGGAATTGATCGTAAGCTCATGAAGAACTTTTAAGTTTAAAAACCAATATTTCGTGGAAAAACCACTGTTAACTTTTACATCTTTATTCGAGTCGAGTGTGTTTTAAATATCACGGTGTCAGAAGAAGGACAAGTTCGAAAGGGTCAATGGCATCGATAAATTGAAACATGTGAGAGCAAGGATTGGGGGAGTATCGTTAGGTTAATTTAAGACGAAATGGAGAAGATGAACGAGGGGTTCATTTAAAACGATGTCTCAGGCATTGGGAGCTTGTTGAAGTCGAGGAACGTGGTGAACCCTTTCGGCAAGTTACAGCCGTCTCTCTTGCACAGACAACGAATCGATGTCTGCGATGGGCGTCCAGCAGCGCGGAATTGGAACGCCTGAAAATGAACAAATTAGATCTCTTTTTCTGAAGCAAATTTCTGTAACTCACTTCTTGGAGGCAGACGTTCAGCGTGGCAAGTCTGGGATGCGTGATTTGGAAGAAGTTCAGGACGTTGGTGTAGTCGTCACTCTCCATGTCGACACCGTTGACGTATCCTTTGTTGAAATCCTTTGGGTCTGGCATATAGGAGCAAAGCTCGTAGATCGGTTCGCTCAGTGTGTGTTCTCCTGAGAAGTGGTTGCCAGCAATGTTCTCCTCGATCGGTTCCCAACAGCGGATCTTCTTGGTCAATTGCTCATGAGCATCTTGGACGGTGTTCTTGGAGGATGGACGGACACTGAAGCCCGAGGCGGCAATAGCCATGCAAGAGAGGAGCAAAGCAGTTCGGGAGAACATGGTTCGCAGGAGGAGAAGTGAATGAAACTTCTTGAAGGGGTGGGAATGGGTCACAAGGATGAAGAATAGTGTTCAGAACGCTGTTCTTAAAAGGATGCGAAAAATGGGCGGAGTCTCTCCTAGGCCGGAGATAAAGAAAAAAGCGCGGGGCAATGTGGGGAATGGAAAGCTCTTTGATGCAAACGTAAAATGAAAAGAGTTGGTAGAGAAAAACGGAAATTCTGAGGTCTCTGATTTCAATCCCGTGGGCATGCGCGAGTTGGTGATAATACCAAGAATCAGTATGATCCCTGCATAAGCTACAAAAAGGGCAGGAAGCTCAATGAACCATTGGGATCTGATAGTTTGGATCTAAGAGAGCAGTCCCATTATCAGATAATTGTTTTGAGGAGGTGTTTAAAGTGCAAGTGGCTGATCGTTGATATTATAGATCATAATGCACTTCCCTTGCAAACATACTAATACTTCAAAGACTGTATAAGAATTGTACACTATTGAAAACTGTAAGTGAGAAAATAGGATTCTTTCCTTCAACTTTAACACATGTTATTTACAGTAATCGATAGACGAATTCGTCACGAATTCCTCCAATTGGGACATCTGAGAAATGACAGGTATTCCTGAAAAATGTGGTCTCCTTTTCTTTTATGTTTTCCCTCAACTCCATTTTTCTGTGATAGCTTTTTTACTTCAAAAAGTCTTATAATTTTTAAATTAATTTTATTAAATCCAAGTGCATTTTTTGTCAGTTCCCAGCATGTAACAAGTCAAGCGGCAAACTCAGTCGAAAAAGGGGGCAGCCAAAGGAGATGTCGTTCGAGCACGAGAGAAGATAACAGAGATAAGGTGTGCTGGAGAGAAAATGAAACACAGCTTGCTCAGCAGTGTCCTGAATGTGCCTGGCACTTACTTCCGGTTTAGCTTTTATATAGAAAAAAAAGGGAGCATGAGACTTGAGGAGAACAAAAGTTCCAACCCTATTTCCGGTTCTATTCATTGTCATCCTCCGGAAATTGAATGGGGATTACCTTGGCACTCCGGATATTGAAATGACACTTTAGAGTTTCTGGTTTTACAAACTGTCGGCTTGATTTTGTTATAGAACTTGCTCTAATTATGCAGAATGAATCTTCTATGTTATTGTGGATTGAAGAAAATTTTGGATTGAAGAAAATTTGTATTGAACAAAATAGTCGGATTTATTCCACTGATAAGGGCATCTCACATCAGTTTTGCTAATTCGGATTACAGTAAGATATCGAATTTTTAATCCGGAAATTCTGTTGTACGTGTTATATTTTCATCCGAATATTGGTTCTCATTTTTTGATTTTGGCTTGTCACACAGGCTCATCTGATCTTGGTGGGGAGTAATAAAAATATACCGGGTTTGTTTTATAGTGAATTAATTTGAATATCTAATTGGCCTTCGACGGTGTGTTTCAAAAACGGACTTTTCGTGGATTGTTCGATATGAAATGAAAAAGCAACTTAATGTAAACAGAACTAAACGTTTTTTTTTTCAATTCCTAGCTACAATTGTCAATCTGGTTTAATATTTTTGTTTAGTGGTTTTTTATTTAGTTGGCTTGTATTCAGTAGGTTTGTAATTCAGTAAGCTTGTATTTAGGAATCCATGAAATTCCTTTTATTTCACTTGTATTTACATTAGCATTTTTGTATTTAGTAGGTTTGTATTTAGTAGGCCATGCAATTCCTTCAATGAAAAATGAGGACAAACAGATTTAATAAAAGAGATTAATAACATATTCATTTTCTAATCTTTGTTCCGTGCCTGTCACTGAAATTTTCCCATTTCCTGAACCCTTCTGATCTACTGCATAGTGTTATTTCCAGCTCATATTTTCCATAGTTTCTCCAGTGAGGAAAAAAAACGGAGCTTCTGTACTGACATCACATATCAAAAAAAGAAAGGGAAGAAGTGGACAAAATAATATCATTTTAATCTACTCTGACTGTGTTTATCGACAGAAAAGCGAATGAACTTTCAGAATCTTTGCAAACTTTTATAGTCGGATCAGTAAGAATATTAAAGTGTTTAGAATAAGGACGCTGTGATGTTTCAAACTGGCACGCGGAATATGCACAATCAATTATGAGCAAATCACGATCATACACCATCATACATCAAAGTTCGAAAAAAAAAAGAAAAACCTAAACGAGAACATTTATAAAGAAACTCTGAGAAGTTGCTGAAATTTTCTATTTTCAATCCATGGGATTGCCATTATCCGGGAGACTTCAGACCTTATTGGAACAGGAAAAAAAATCAAAGATTTTCTGCTTAATTCAGCAGTAATGCTTCTCGTTTTCATTGTCTACATTATCAAGAGACACTGTTTTTTTTTGAGTGGATGATCGCAGTGTACAGTCAACTACAGTGCGTCGCATAACTATAGGACCCCCCTCAATTTGGGGTGTACAGCAAAAACTAGAGTAGATATAAAACATCTTTGAATGCAGTTGGATTCAGAATCAAAAATAACCCTAGGAACCAAATTTTCAGAACCCTACCATTTTCCATACCCTCACGGCAAGAAAAAGGTCCATTTTCGACCGTCGCATAACTATAGGACCCCTAGATGTTTTGTGTGCACAGGTCGTTTTTTGACCATTTTTTCTACTCTAAATTGTTTTATTTACGTTTTTCATTGTTTCAAGCTTTTTCTGAAGATGTTTCTCGCAACTTTCTTTCAACATCTTCGTGTGGAACATCCAATGCAAGGAACTCATTTTCGAGATCAAGCTTCACTTCTGGCCCTTCCGTAAATCTCCAACTGCATTTTTTTACAGTCGTGGCGATAGTTTGATGTGCAGGTACAGTAACTGAAAATATTAGTTGGTCCCTATCCCAAAAATATGCCTCGGAAACATTCCTTCAACCATGGCTCGCGCTACACTCCTCTCTCTTGCCGAACAGACCAAAGTGGATGTGATGAAACAACTTGGACTGACACTTCACGAGATGCCCCGTCAACTCACGAGAAGTCGTAACGTCATCCGAAAATACCTCGCCGACCCACTCCATTACGAGAAGAAGCTGAAGGAGTCTGGAAGACCGAGAAATCTGACTTTACGTCAAGAACGCAGCATCTTGAAATCAGTCTCCAACTCGCCCAAAAGTTTGAACGATGTGAAGAACGAACTCAAGCTGCCAGTCCACAAGAGTACGGTGGGCAGAATCATCGAAAGAAGTGGAGTCATCGTTCGTCAGAAGATGGCCAAAGTTCCGAAGATGACTGATGCCCAAAAAGCAGCACGTCTCAATTTCGTGAAGAACCGTTTGACTACGAAATGGGAGAAATGGGACTGTTCTCCAGGCGCAACTTTGGCGGCGGCTCTGTTATGATTTGGGGCGCTTTTTGCAATGGAAAAAAGCTCGAACAGCAATTCATCACCACGAAGGAGAATTCTGCCACGTACCAAGCAACTCTCCAAAAGGCCGTGGCTCCGTTCTTCCGTAACAGACGCCACACCCACACGTTCCAACAGGACAACGCATCTATCCACACGAGCACCTCCACGAGGAACTGGTTCGTCTCAAAACGAATCAAGGTGCTCGAATGGCCAGCATGCAGTCCGGATCTAAACTCCATTGAGAACATCTGGGGCATCCTTGTTCGCCGGGTCTATCGAAACGGGAGGCAATTCAAGACCGTGCAGGAGCTCAAGGACACAATCCAGGCTGAATGGGACGCTCTCACTAATGCCGAATTGAAGAATCTTGTAGCCAGCATGTCGAGCAGGATCGTTGAAGTGATTCAAAACAACGGCTAAGGGAGACTAAGTACTGATTTTTCGATGTGTTTTTTGTTAGTTGCTTAGAATAAATGGATTTTGTTGACTGAAGGGAAAATCGGATTTAGACATGTTTACTTTGAAAGAAAGTTGCGAGAAATATCTTCAGAAAAAGCATAAAACAATGAAAAACGTAAATAAAACAATTTAGAGTAGATAAAATGGTCAAAAAACGACCTGTGCACACAAAACATCTGGGGGTCTTATAGTTATGCGACGGTCGAAAATGGACCTTTTTCTTGCCGTGAGGGTATGGAAAATGGTAGGGTTCTGAAAATTTGGTTCCTAGGGTTATTTTTGATTTTGACTCCAACTGCATTCACAGATTTTTCATATCTACTCTAGTTTTTGCTGTACACCCCAAATTGAGGGGGGTCCTATAGTTATGCGACGCACTGTATACTCATTTAAGTCATGAAATTGGTTCAATTTCGATGAATGTGGTTCACTTCTATCATGAACACTTCAATGAACAATTTCGTACGCAAACGTAATATGTGAAATTGCACGCGCTTTTTGAGATTACATCAGTATGACTGAATAAAAAACAAGCCAAGCATGAGACATTATTATGGTACTGTAGCTCAGATTTCATCTATTCCCGTGGTCCTCCCATTCACTTGGTCACGACAATTTCTGATAATCTCTGATATAGATGACCGCTGCTCACAAAAATTAAGATTTCTAAAAAACGATGGCAGGGCTGCAAGATATAGATTGATATTGCGTGAAAAAAGCAACATATGACCGGAACTTCAAAGAATCATCCCAGCTCGTAATCTCAGACACATTCGGGCGATTTCTCAAATGTCATTATTGTTTTCTTTCTATCCAATATTAGTGATGTGTCCCAGAGAAATTTTAATTCGAAAAAGCCACTCAAACCATTTGAAACGTTTATGTGATCAAAGAAACCGTTCAACAATACATTTAGTATTCCTTAATCTTCGCGATTGTATGCTCGAATATTATTTTTCATCACTGTATATTCTTAATTCTGAAGGAAAAATTATGTTGCAGTAAATAGTACTTGTTTTAAGAAGACGCAGACATTCGAACGACACTCCGCGCGTCTCGTTGCGCGGTGTTTACCGTAAATCGACATTATTTATTGGAAGCTGAAAAATTTTGGAAGCCTGTTTCTAGTATTTCACCCATGTTTTCACATTATTTTCTCAAGTAAAATGAAAAAATCGACACTCAAAACCTATTGTTTTGTGTTTCACTTGGGAATTTGCATCAATAAGTTACAATTCTCTAAGTGCTCAACCACAGCAGTGAAAATTGTCAATTTTATGAATTCCAAAGAATTCTATCGGTGTTTCATACGTGAAAAAGTGAGACATTATTGGGAAATTGATCACCGTTTAATGAAAACTCGTTTTGTTTTGCAGATTTGAAGCCGAAAATTGGTGAAAACGTCCCATGGATCTTGCCGACAACCGTTTCAAGCAGCGTTGATCAGTGAGTTTCATTATTTTCTCTCCAAAGTGACTGACTTTTTTGCAGAACAATTGATAAACTGTCTACAGCAAAATAAGAATGAGAAAGTAAGAAAAATGGGCGATCGGAAGCGAATTGGATGGCTGGTGGATAAGCGACCGGCGGCATTTCACACTGGTACTCGAATTTTAACCTCACAACTTCTGACCGTTGGATGACGATTTTGCTATAAATTTCTTTTGATTCGTAATCATGTGATTATCAGTGCAAAATCGTGAAGACGTTGTGGAAGGACAACGTTCAACTAATTGCGAAACGACTGCGGTGCACAGTGCACTGAGACATTGTTCTCTGTCTACGAAGGTTTTGCAGCGATATTTTTGGGTAAGTTCTGATGGTTTTATTGAGAGCGGAATTTGACGAATTAATGTTCTACAGCAAAACTTCAAAATGAGCTTTTTCAACGAGACGTCTTTTTGTCGGCGCACCATCAAATGAAGAATGAATAAATGAAAAAGACATGTCCTGGTTTTGGATTCCTGGAAGGAAGGACAAGTAAACCAATAACTAATTATGCGGTTAGTCACAAAAATGACAGATTATACTTCTCAGTCAGAAATTTTTTTCAGAGATTTTGAAGCTTCGGAACTACTGCTAGAAAGAAAGACCAGCGGAGGAAACTTATTTGGCTGAAAGAAGCTCAGAATCGGCTATGGAGATTCACCGTGACAGAAACTCTGGATAGGGAATTTGTCCGATTAGAAGCGGCGCTTTTCAGAAAACTATTTTGTTATCGATTTGGCAGATTTCAACATGATCTCAGACGAAACAACTCAGTTTCAACCGATTCCAAGTCGAGGGCTGCTTCGACTCCTGTTGAGTCAAGAACGAAATCAAGGATAACTTTTTTCAAAGTTGGATTTTTTTCAGATTCGACTCTAATGATTCTTGCTTCTCCCATGATATTCAAAAGAAAAATCCTTGGATAGTTTTTTTTTTATTACTAACCTGTAGATCTTAAATATCAATAAACAGAACTTATGAAAAAAGATTTATTATTTTGAAAATTCTAAATCCAACAAAATTTTAAGGACAAATATTATATAATTTGCAAAGTTTTTTTGCCTGCGATGGAATATCCATAAGAAGTGATCCTCCAACTTTTCGGCTAACGATTCCTATTAAGAAGGATCGCCCGTCCTTTTGGACTATAGCTGAGGAGCCACTATCGCCCTGAAAAAAAAATGGTTTCAACTCGACTCATCATTCAATATTACCGCTCGGGTGCCTGCCGTGTGCCAACCGGTAGCCTCGTGGGCATTGTGCTCAGCCGTAGATGAAGCTATCTAAAAAATAATAAGTACTAGTCTTATAAAATGTGAATGGTGGAAATTTCAAAAACAGAGGCTCCGATTCCAAACCTTCAATCCCAGTTTATGGGAAACTACGAAGTTTATTACATACCTGTAGCTTTTCAGTCGAGAAGACTCGGCTCGGTCTAGAAGAAGCTTCATTTCCGGATTTGGAATCGGATTCTAAAATCATTAGGGTATTGAATGAAAAGTGCACCAACTTGGGACTCCAAAAGACGAGACAGAAACCTGGCTTCCGAACGGGATGTTGTTTCCTTAAATTAGAAGTTTTTTTGCTGGGAACAATTTCCAACTCACTGGAAATGCAGATTGGTTTTAGGGTGTCTGACAAATCCAAATCCGTTGGTAATGTGATGATGGATAAGTCGACGTAATGAGGATTTTTAAGCTTGCAGTATTCAAAAAGACATGCCTGTAAACGGAAAATAACGATGAAAATGAAGTGTGAACCAAGTTTTTACTTCTCCCTTTGTGATCATGGATGAGCCAATATCGAGTTCCAGTTGATCCAGCTGAATAATATAGTCTTTCAGAGGAGTACAAGCTTTGTCCGAAAAGCTTGGGGAGTCCGTGATGTTCTTCGTGAGGCAATGTCGGGCGGTCAAGAAACGCTTCCTCGAAATCAAAACTCCTGAGCAGCTCAAATTTCCATTCCGGTAGTTGATCAGCCACGGAGCTTTTCTTCGTTCCGCGGTGATTCCTAAAACAATCAATGCTCTACTAGCAGCCATTCAGCAAAAATATTTCGCTCAAGAGCTTCAATAAACGCACCTTCGGCATTTGAGCTTTTGGCGGTCTTTCCACATTCAGCCTGAAGAATTTTGTTCTCCTCGTCGGTGAGTCGCTTGGCTCCAATATATCCGATGGACAAGACGAAGAAGACGATAACAATTGTCGAAGAGCTGATCGGGTTGAGACGCATGGTAGTGATGAGAACTCTTCTTATGATTCTTCAAGAGAACAGCGAAGAGACGAAATGTGATTTTTATGGGTCTGTGCCCCCTTATTTATACCGTCGCGTCGTTTGGGAAATGCATACTCGTTCCCAACCCTCTTGGGAATTGGAAAAAAATGTAAGATTCCCATGGGAAACTCTTTCATATTTCTTTTTGATTTTTCAATGTCGCCGACAAGTCAAATACGTCATTGATAAAAAAATACAGTGAATCATTATGATAAAAGAAATTAATACTGAAGATATCCGAGTCATGGAGAAGAAGAATATCTGATTTTGACACAAGAAATACACCAATTTCGTGATTTCTGGAGCTTTTAGCTCGATAATTGCACGAATATTTGTGTTTCTACGAGTTATTAGCCGAAATACACGATTTAAAAGATTCCGGAGTTCTAGAGTAGTCAAAAAAGGTTCAATCGAAGACGTTCTGCAGTGTGTGCACTGGCTCTGATACCGTCATGGATAGGAAGAATATCCAAGTCATGGAGAAGAAGATTATCTGATTTTGACACAAGAAATACACCAATTTCGTGATTTTTGGAGCTTTTAGTTCGATAATTGCACGAATATTTGTGTTTCTACGAATTATGAGCCGAAATACGCGATTTAAGAGACTCCGGAGTTCTAGAGTAGTCAAAAACGGTTCAATCGGAGACGTTCTGCAGTGTGTGCACTGGCTTTAACACCGTCATAAAGAAGAATAAACGACTTTGAAACAAAACATAGACATATTTCGGGATTTTTGGAGATTTTCATTTAATAAATGGATAAGTATTTATGTTTTTTTTAATTCGGAAAAATAACCATACTTTTTAGCATGAGGACATTTTATTATTCGGTAGAACATTTTCCAGGTTTTCCAAGGAAAAAGTGACATAACGCCAACAAGGAAAACGTCAACTGGTAGGCAAAAATTGTCTTCCGCCTTGTGATTCTCGGAAATGAGTTGGTCCCATAAATGAGAATTATCTGGAAACAATTCAAAATATACGCATGAAAGCCACTTTTGATTCCAAGTTTTTAAAATACTTATTCATGTAGGTATAAGAATAACAAATTTATTACATTTAAATATTCAATTTATTCGTATTTCGGCTCAAAATTGTTTCATTTATACCAATTTTCATGTGAATCAGATTGGAATGCTTCGTTTCCTCAGGAGTGGAGTACAAAAATGTAGACGTAATGTTCCTTCACTTCCCGGGAATTTCGTGGGATGATCAGCCAATAGTTCCGGAGCTTCGTGTCGGAAAAGACTTCATTTCGTCAAAAACAAGAAGACGTTGCTGTAAAAGCTTCTTTTACTTTTTCTGCAAAGATGACGCTTTTTAGATTGATATCGGACTCCAACAACGAGAGCTTCGACTATGGAAAGGTATCAAGACAAGACTAACCAGCAGGTTTTCGCAGGAACAGCAGCGTGAGTTGTTTTGAGAATTTTGAAAGAGCAAAGTCGGAAAATCGAAGAACTCATCAAGTATTTCATTCCTTTTTTTTAAATGAATCTCATGTTATCATTGGAATTGATGTTGTCTACATGACGATCAGTTGTTCCATCTTTCTGACAACGAGAGCAACGTTGATCACGGTGCGACAACAGGTGTCTGTCTAAAAACTTTCTGCGGAGAAGTATGATGAGTGTTTCTATAATCTAACCGTAGTTCTAGTGACAATATTCAATTCCGTCGAAGGGATTGGTCCTTATTCGTGAATCAACCGTTTTCACTTATATCTCATCTTCTTGACGCATGGGCGCGCTGGGAATATAATAATTTAGTTTAAGAGGTAGATCAGTATCAAAATTTCATGTTTTTTGAGTGAGAAACGTTATAATTAGACCAATTTATTAAATGTTTTTCTTCGATTTTCGAATTAAAAAAAACTGGAAGAGGTGTAAAAACTAGTAGGAGCACAACAATTCTGGAAGCAAAAAATGCTGTGAAAAAGCTCACCATTGAATAAATGAAGTTCCTTTGGATGTTCTCGAGAACTTAATTTTAGACTATAATGAAAAAATATCCCCAACCAAAAAAGCATCCGCGCTCTACTGCAAGCGTTGCGTGTGCGTTTTTGTGTTGCATAGCACACACGGGCGAGAGAGAAAGAGAGGGAAAAGAAAGTGGACTAGTGGAGGGAGGGGGGGGTCTCTCTCCTCTCTGTTCTTTTTTGTGTATATGCTGGGGCGAAACTCCGCCCAATGGGAAATTTTTAATAAGTCAGATATAAAATGGAACTATGGAAGTTCTAAAAAGTTTGTGAGATTTTTTCTTTGAAAAACTTTTGTACAGATACCGATAGATCCATCTTCGTTCTCTATCTCTCAATTGCAAGCCGTTTAAAATCTGCTCTAATCATTACTGAACCCGAAGCTCAAAAGCTTTCAATCCGAAGCTTGTACCACGATAGAAATTCAAGCTTCGCTTTTCGATTTCCAGTCAGGAAAGCTGATTTAGTGTCAATGGATAGAAAATTGTTCGTTCAGAGTCTATCAGAGGAGGATTCTGAACTAGTTAAAGATACGTGAGGTCCTCAAGAAGAGATGAATCATCTATAAAATGCAAAAATGTCAGAAAATTTTTGAAAAAGAAAGGAAAAGGGCAAATGAAAACGTGGGAAAATACGTGGACAAAAAGAAAAAAATGGGTTAAAGCCTGTTGCCTCATTCTGGTGGTGTACTGAAGAAAAAAAAAATTAAAGATTTCCACGGAAATTTAGAAATTTCAGGTCGAAAAGAAACGAAACGTCACGTACATCGTCACAGAAAAAATAAAAATCATACTCCGTGAGGAAAGCAGGTGTCATTTTCATCTGGAAAAACGGCTTAGTATCGTAATTTTGTCAAACCTGAGCTGTTATCAAAAATGCTCTCGTCGATGTTTCACAACTCATCACAAATCACAACTTCCAGTTTCCACCACTATGATTTTATTCACCCGAAGAATAGACCGTACCTCAAGGACGAATTTTATGTAGACAGAGTTAGATTAATTCAGTTTTGTCGACTAGGACATCTGTTAAGAGTTCGAAATTTCGCCTTTGAATCTTTTGTGGAAAATATCTTGGATAAAATCTCAAAAATTTTTAACGAAATGATTTCGTTTGGTTTGCCTCCACTATTCTTTTTTGTCCTTGCCCAGATAGAACAAGTCCTCAATTCACATGCATAGTAAGATTTTCTTGGTCCGCTGTTTGCCCAGATTTCCTGCCAATTCTAATTTTCAGTTGCACCTATAGTGAGAGCTCGATAATCACTTGCGAAGATCTTTATAGACGGTCATAAGGGGTCATAGACGCTCAAACGTTCGTAGACGTCAACCCTGCCCATTGTTTCAATCTTCTATATGCCAATGGTGATCTGCCTTCGACCACCTTCTTGGTATTACCTCCTGCTGTTGTTGGGCACACACGTAGACCATCGATTTTCCGTTGCTGTCCTCGGTCGGTTATCGTGGTCCCTCCTCGTCCATTCATTTGCGTTTGTCCTGGAGACGGACAGTTGTCTTTCTCAATTTTCCTTTATTTCCATTGATTTTCCAACTTGATTTTCATTCAGATGATCGCCGAGCAAAACCCAACAACCGTTGTACAACAACCGAAGAACCAGCCACAGAACTGCTTTTATGTCTATTCTACAGCACTGAAAGCTCTCGTTGGAGGTAAAACAGAAAACTTTACTGTCTAGTTTTTTGTTTCAAATTTTCAGAGATAAGAAAGGTCCACAATTGGCTTAGCGATCATACGCAAAAGGAGCAAAGTATGCAAGGTCGACTGATTTATTCGCTGATAGTGATGGATTTGAGCCGTGAGCTCACCGATTTTGAAAAGAGAGCTGACGCTTACGAAGAGGCTGGCAACAAGAACAAAATTGCGGACCAGGAGACGATTGAGTTCATAAACCGAACCTCCAACGGCATTCACGCTGCTCTTCGGGAGTGGAAATCAGAGCACCAGCCGGATGATGATTTCGATGTTGTTATTGATCAGCACTCCATGGGTTCGTTCTTGAAAGTCTTGAAGCGGCTCAATGAGATGAATGATGTGGAAGAGACGAACAAGTTACGGAAAGTGTTGGTGAATGGAGTAGCTGGAGGAAATGTGGAGGAGAAAACTGTTCAACTTGAGCCACAGAGCGCGCAAAAACAACCGCCAAAAAATGGGAAACGGAAGCAGAATGGGAAAAGAAAGCGAAATGACAAGCAGAAACCACAAGCACAGCAAGAGCCACTTCAAGCCCCACCAGGAGAGCCGAAATCCGACCAACAGTGTCAACAAGAGGATCAACCAGAACCACAATAGGTACTAATAAAAAATTCAACTGTACTCT